AGATTATCTATTCTTAATACCTAATAATACAAGTTTATAAAGTTTCCTAGCCTTATACGATAATGGAAAAGCTAGGATACTATCATATAATCCAAAACTATTTTTGTCAAAACCTAATTGTTTTCTATAAGCTTCGTTCCGTTCACATTCCATCATAATACGAACAACATCTTCCACAATTCCACATTTGTCACAATTTAGTGAATTCACTTTTATCATTCCAAACGCAAATTTTTTTAATGGTACATGTCCGGAACGAAGCCTCATTGCTGTAATAATTTCTTGCCTTCCCCTAACGCATCCTTCAAACCAGAGGAAGCAGGAAAGATGGGGTTGTATCGTCTTGTACCATAGTACATGGTATCCTGTTGACTTCAGTTGTGTATACCGCACATCCAGCATGGAGCATTCACACCGCGTGTTGGTCGACGGTGTTTCCTACTACTAGGTACGAGTTGGATGCAAAATGAGAGCCTAAAAGATCAGCTTTCTCCTTTGCGGCAAAGGCCACTGAGTGGTCTTCCCTGTGCAAAGATGTAAGGGATGGATGACAAAATTTCGTTGGACAGTCTTGTCGTGAGACTTAATCTTCAGAATTTCCAAACCGATTGATAAAATTTAACAGATAGTGGTAGGAGTGATCTATAGTGAAGCTATATCTTTTCTGAACAAAAAAGTGGAGTTTTAGAAATCGAAAAACTCTTTAACTCCAGTCGTTATTGTCCGCAGTGTTGCTAACACATAAATCTAAACTACTATGTAGTAACTATTAAATAATAAGGCAATAGAAGTAAAAGCGCGTGACCTTGTCGCCGCACAAGTGACTCGTAGGCCACAAGCACGCAAGGAGCGTTTGTTTCGGTCGGTGTTATTTCGGACGCAGAGACGTAAAAATGGTGTTTTGAAGCATATTCAACTGCGGAAATTCTTTCACAACTTGCAAATTTTCAAATAAAGGGATAATATTTCATAAATAAGTACTTAGTATTTTAAATAATGTTATTTTTATTGAAATATACTTAAAATTATTCACCTCCAGTACTGCGATTGTCTCCGAAAATGTAATTGTTTTCACATTTCAATATCCATTGATTCTTAAGCTAGTTCATGTCTACGAGTACAACAGCTAAAAGCAGCGATGGATTTATAGTATGGGCAATAAACAATATTGCTGCGTACGTAAATTTCCAAGAACACGGCCGCAGGAGTCGAGCGCGAGTCAGTGGCGTGTCATTACTATTTTTTATCGATAATTTATTATGTTTGGCTTACCTAGTTTTACAGAAATGGGAATGAAATGTGATTTTTCGTTAAATATTTATTTACACCTCTATTTTTCTTTCTAAATATTTTATACCGTTAACCTTTTATCAGCGATCATCTGTTTGTTAGTAGTTTCAAATTACTTGATAAAATTTTATGCAATTTTAATATATTGCAAGGATAAGTAATTATATTGTAAGGGTGGTAGACTAAATTCGATCTGTAAGAAGCTGGGCCGGGTAACTGAAAAATAACAAACAACAGAAAGTCAGTTACAGATTTTTAAAACTACTTAATAAAAAATGATAAATATGTCACTCATACATATATTTTTACCTGTTTGCTGTTTGTATAATGTTATGTTCATTTTATTTATAATTCTGTTTATTTTATACAATGCTATTATTCTTTTCAAAAGATCCAATATTAAAGATAAATGGATATACTTATCTTCAACGTTTTATTATATCCCCATTTCTCTAATTATAAAACGTCTTAAGGCTAAAGCTAAGACGAAAAGCATCTATTACTGAGACACTTCCAGTTAATTAGTTATATCTTGGTGTGATACTCCTGGGCGATCAACGACGCTTAATAGAAAGTTATCTAAACGTGCGTTGCGCTGAACTATGCCCAAGGGAGAGTGAGCGTGCGTGCAATGTCATTCTCTGTTTTTTTGCACACGTTAGTTAGTTATTGGATCAAGTGGCTACGCTCTCCGAGATTTTGCGTTTTTATAAAATATTCCTTGACGCAATAGTTTATAGTTTAGTCTTTCTTGCATGAATACTAGAGATATGTGTAGGCGAAATTGTGTATTTATTATTTGTCTACGTGTGAAAGCTGCGAACCGGCGACACGCGTCCCGATATTAAAGGACAGTAGAAGGCATTTCTAGTACCTTATTATTTAGATTTCTGTGGTTGCTAATTTTAATATGATAATGACCTTTAAAAGATATTTGAAAGTTTTGAAATTATTTTTTGGTATAAACTGGTCGGTGTAAACACTTGACTGAAGTGACACAAAAACCAAGCTGAAACCATGCTCAATGTATTGTAAGAACAGGCACTTATTTTCACAAGCACATAATTTTTGTTGAGGTGAGTTGACAAACAAAACATTCCTTTCATTATTATGACCTAAAGTCATACTTTTAAGCTGGTTCTGCACTATCTCCGGTTAGAAAATCACATATTACACAAATTAATTTAAATTTCTCATTTGTAAAAGTTACAGCCTATATACGTCCCACAGCTGGGCACAGGCCTCCGCTCATTTCTGAGAGGGTTTTAGGGCAAGGAATTGTCCGCCGCGCTGCCTCAGTGCGTGTTGGCGAACTTTACATGTCTTCGAAATATTTTTTTCCTTATTTCTCTGACATGCAGGTTTCCTCACGATGTTTTCCTTCACCGCCAAGCACGTGGTAAATCAGCACTTAAAATTGCAATTAACAATTTCATTGATGCCGGCGGGGATCGAACCCGGTTTGCTCGCGTACTACAGTGTACTACAGCGAGCGCTAACCATCTGAGCTACCACGGCTCCTCATTTGTAAAATCTCTACGAAATGAAGATTGTTGCAGCTTTTTCGTTCTTCCTTGGCGATGTTCGAAATATTTTTATTGCTCTACTCTACCCAAAGATCTCGGAAGTAGAAAGGTCACAGACCAACCCCAGTGGGTACTTACATGAATTAATTTTATGATGCTTTTACCAGTATTCATTACGCCTTGTATGGTTTTCAAATAAAACATAACCTCCCATTGTAAATGTATTTAAAAATAATAATTGAAATATAATGTGAAATCCAAACGCAAGACACGTGTATTCTCTACTCGTATTGTAAGTAAAACAACATAGCAATACAATTACGGATCCCCAACGTATGCTATTCGACCACGGGATATAAAAAACAAGACTTGTTTTTATTTTCCGTGTAATCGACGTACCAATTTCATCTAATTTTAAAGGGATTTTGAGTACTCAGCTAGATATTAGATATATAATTCTAAATTTTATTATAAAACATTTGGTATTGACACTAAGATTTTTATGAAGGTTTTTATGATTTTAAAATATTCATATGAAATTAGAAGAATGAACAAAATAATAAAGGTTTTTTTCTTATGGATATTTACGTAAATAAATGGCTGGTTAAAAATAAAGAAATATTGTAGTATGTCTTTATTTACATATTTCTGCTCAACTGTAATTTTCTTGTTTAAATATTCTTTTGAACAATTTAAATACTCTTTTATTTACATTACATTCGTTTATATTATATGTACTTATTTTATGATATTTTAATACATGTTTCATTTGCAACAAAGAAATATACATTTTAGTAATAACAGAATAATAAGTGAAAATGAAAAATAAACAGTAAAATATGTACCAATACCTATGTATGCTAAAAGATGAGCACTGCAGTATTAATTGCACACAAGTTACTGTTAATTCTCCCTAACTTCTTCAGTCGACTGCAAGCGGACGAGGTGACTTGTTCTTTGTTTTGTAAGCCGCGAACGTTGCTTTCGACAATTTAACATTGATATTGTTTCTTGTACCTAAGAAAACATTGTCATTATTTATGTGGACACTATGTCAACGTGATTTGCAGTTTATTTCAGATAAGTATGTAACTTTATTTCGTACTTGACTAGAAACGGTAGGTACCTAAATGAAAATACAATTGAGTGGCATATTTACCGTGCCAGCCATCCTCGCCCGCACCCGCGCTCTCGCGATCTACAGTTTTTGTTCTTATTTGCTGGTTTAGTAGTATACATGGAGGTCTTAGTAAAGTACAACAAAATATATGTTAAATATTAACATAAATAGTCACTAATTAGAATAATAAGGTACGTGAAGGTAATATGGTCACCTTAAGTTTTACCACCCTATAAGACCAAAACTAGAAAGCAGACAGAGACAAAAACAAAATCGTATACTATAACTTATACATTTAAAAAATAACAAACAGGCTTTGGCAATAATTAAGAACACTTCGAAAAATCAACTTAAAAAAATAAACTAATTACACTACACCATACTAAAATCGACTAAAATATTTATAATATCAAGTATACAAATGCCGTCGATAAAGCAGAACCCTTTTGATTTTGACCCTTAATTATTTGATTGACTGATGATGAGCTATCGTGTCACAAAACCATCCATGCAAACAAGGCTGTAGTTTCCGAGTTATAACAAAGTGACCATATTAACCGGATAACCATATTATCCCGCACGTAGTATTATTATTTATTACGTCTTTAAACGCCTATCACTCATATGGTTCAATATATTATTTTATAGGTGCAAAAATATATAATCTGTAAACTATATCAGTAATATTGCATGTTTTAATAGGACATGAGGAGGGAGACAATCTATAGATATTGTTAATGCCTTTTTATACTTTAAACTTTATATAAATCAATAGGAATTATATAAATAAAGTTATTGTACTATGCACCAGAAAATTGCTTAATAAGGACTAAATGATTGCGTTGTCTATTGCAACACTAACTTTGCTGCAAAAATAGCTATTTCAATATTTATTTTATAGTTATTACTTGTGAACACTATAAAAGTAGCCATGCCAAACATTTACTACAACTATAATTTACAGCACTGTTAAATAGTGGCGACTGAACTATACCACGCATAAATAAGTACTCATATGTTTTGTACTCTGCCAAAGAATATTTATATAATAACACTTTACAATATTAGTTGTGTTCGGTAGAGGGACGACGTGAGTTATTCCGTTGTGGTATAACAAATTCAGTGTGACGCGGCGTGCTGAAGGGGTTGGAGGAAGTAAAGGGAGCATTCACTGATGTCTGCCTTTGAGCTGGTGGTGGTCGACGAACTGGACTTGTTGATCTGAAATGTTACATTTTTAATTTAGGGAAGCTGCGTCGTAATAGGGAATATTAACTCAAAGTTGAGCCTTCGACTTCCTATAAACTGGGTGATTTTTTTAACCGTCTGGAAAAAATTTGATGTTACAGGTAAACGGAATAGAAGCCTATGACACAGATATTTTACATTTTTTATTTTATTTTACAGATATTTTACATTAACATATTATGTAATAAACTTTCGGTACTAAAATTACAACACAATTTTTGAACTAAATAAATAAAAATAAATCAATTAAAAACTATCGAAATTAAAATAATACCTACCCAATTAGTAGTAAGTATTAATAGATAGATCAATTTCATATGTTAATTAAAACAAAAAAATAAATGTAAAATATCAGTGCCATAGACTTCTGTTCCCTTCACCTGTTACACTCTATTTTTTTCTAAAAGGTAAAAAATCACCAGTATATTATAGGATTCATGCGAATTATAAGTCCATTCAAAGTTTATATATATACCTACGAGTATGTATATATAAAATTGAAGTATGTCTGTAATATCCAAATAATTGGCTCTTATTAAGGTCAGGAGTACTTCTCCACTCCATACTCAGGAGGTTGTTTGCACGCTATTAAGACATGAATGACTATTTTTAAAAAGTTTGCTTGTCTGTCTGTCCGAGCTGATCTTCGGAACGGCTGAACCGTTTGTAAGGAAACTTCACGAAATCAAATTCACGGCTGTAGTTTTTTTGAAAATCATGCATGAAAATAAATGATTTTTAATGATTGCCTCATAAACTATAAGAGATATAAAAATGATTCGAACAAAACTATTATGTTTTGCAATTTTACACAAGAAAACGAGTAACACTTTAGGCAAATCGATTTTTATCATTTATTATTAATTCAATATCATTTTAAAATAAAACAATAAATATCTATTATTGTAAGTTGATGTGAGCTTTTTACGTGAATTCTTCAATCTTCAATTTTATTCAATATAATATTTTCTTTTTTGTTTGAAAGTTGACTTGATCGTGAGTTTTCTTAGTTATAAATTATGATTCAAGAAAATCTTTTCAGCCGTTTTTAATAAGATAAAGGTGACAAACGAGCACACAGTCCACCTGATAGTAAGTGGTTGCTGTAGCCCATAGACATCTACAACTACCCTCGATTACGAATCAATATGCAGATGCCTTGTCACCCGTGAGGACTAAGATGGAATGTACATTTTAATTCACTTTTCATTTAAAGAGTAGCACCATTCACTTAAACTTTATTATAGGTTTTTAAATGTATTTTAAAATAATAATTATAAAGCGAGTAAAGCAAACGCGTAACATTTTGACGTCTCTTAACACTCTTTAACTTGTGGCCTCATGCCTCAATGTAATGTCTCCCTTCAAGTAAGAAGGGTCCCCGGTTCTCTACACTCACCATACGAAAGACAGCAGCGCAGCGTTAAGCTGCTATTTTACGCTGGTAATCTGTGAGGGCGTGGTCCTTTCCCGGTCGAGCCGACCCATTTCTGCTACAACGAATATAGTTGCAGCATGGCGCTACCACGTAAAACTCAATCATCGGTTCTTTTTGCTTAGGGTTTTTTAAATTTTAATTTTAATATTATTCTCTTTCTTCATCAGACCGTAATTGTCCGCTGGACACGGACCTCTTTTGTTGTAGGGATTAATGCCTGACCAGTGCTTCAATTTTCACACTTGGCATACGGATGGACGATTGTAGTAATTGGCATTTCGCTCTTCTGACACTGATGTACGTTGCCGGTTCGGTCCAGTTCGGATTATTTACTTTTAATGTAAGCGAGTAGGTGAACCGCCATCTATTTTTTTTTTCATAGGATAGGGTGACAAACGAGCACACAGTTCACCTGATGGTAAGTGGTTGCTGCGGTCCATAGACATCCACATCTATCCTCGATTACAAATCAAAACGCAGATGCGTTGTCACCCGTGAGGACTAAGACGGAATGCCTCGTTTCCAGTAAAAAGCGTCTCCGGTTCGCTACACTCACCATACGAAACACAGCAGCATTAAGCTGCTATTTCACGATGGTATTTTGTGAGAGCGTGGTCCTTCCCCGGTCGAGCCGACCCATTCGTGCTTCAACTATACTGCTAATATAACTGCAGCATGGCTCTACCACGTATAAAACACGTATAAAACGTACCAGAAGACACTGCGAACAATATCTGTGCCTTGTTATGGCACAGACTAAATAAGTTTCAGCCCGTGGGCTCTAACGCGTGTTGCAAACAACCAAGTCTGAGAGTCTATAATTCGTAGTATATATTACTTGAATGGTTATTAACTATAATTAGAACGGGCAATATGTACTTAGGAAGCGTGTTGAGGTCGGCGGCGGCGGACAGCTGGCGCGGTGGAGGCGCGGGCGGCCGGCGCGGCGGCACCTGCACACCCACCACACACTGTTATTTATCTCCCTAGTATGCCTAATATGCATCTTATACCTCCCTATCCTTAAGAAATCAAGTGTCAGGAGGAATATGAGAACTTTTGACCCAAGTGTCAACCGCATTTGCTGGTGGTAGACTGCTGACGGACGAGACTAGTGAACAATTGATGAAAATTGTACAACCCACTACAAGGAGCTCGCAATGTATACACGATTTTTGCTTTAGCCAGGATCGATACAACTTTTTAAAATAAAAAATACCAAATTCGAGTCTCGTTTCAAACGGACTTTGTAATCAAAAAATCTGGTACTAATTTGCAAGAATCATTTATCAATGTCGACAGTAATGATATATAAATAAAAAATAAATAAGACTGTCTTACTTCGGGAGGTTCTGGAGTCCGATACGCCGCTGCTTGAGAATGCGCTCGCGTAAGCCTCTGTTGTATCGGTGCTGGTGGTGGAGGGCGGCGAGGAGGGAGATTCTCCGTTCGTTGTGTCACGGGTTTCTCCTGTACCTCATGCTGCTTATCCATACTACTTCGTCTATCCGTGTTCTGAGATGTCCTATCCGGACTGCAATTGCCACCCCTTGATTGGGACAGACTAGAACGCGTCAAGTCATCCAGTTGCCTTTCAGGACTACTTCGAGACTGTTCCACGAATTGTTTTTGAGGTGTCGTTCGGTACTGTCTGTCCGATGGTATCCGCTGTATTTCCAGAGGTACCTTTGGATCACTTTCAGGAACAATGTTACTTTTTGCATATGTTGACCTTGTTTCTACGCGACTTTCTGGTCTCTCCATCTGAGTTTGAAATTTAACAGAATGTGAATATACTAATCAATCGTGTTAATTGCAAAAAAATATATAGAGTTAACTTTCTTCAGCTGCATACAGGCCCTTTTTCAAGTCGATAGTGTAGTATGTGGTAATAGAAACGAACCTTTAAATATTGCTCTCCGTTGTTAATTCGAACATTTTATTGCTAGTGGTTTTGCCATGGATATTCTATCATATTTCTGATACTACAAGTTTATCTCGACTTTCTACTAGTCAACTTTTACGACACCCACGAATCGGAATAGGAAACGGATTCTATTCCGTAGCCTCTGAGTTATTAGAATAACTTTTATCTAAACTGAAAACTTAAGGTGATATGTTCTTCTCTTTTTGCCGTCATGCCGCAAAGCCCGTATGATAACAGGTTGTGAGACATTTTATCTTTTTCCTCAAGGAGACAACGTATCCTGTGCTTCTCTGTTTGAAATGGGTCGTTGTGGTGTCCATAGGTGGCAATAGCCATTTCTTTTCAGGTTGAATATAGGCTTGTTGGTCAAGAACATTATAAAAAAATTGTACTGAATTTTTAAGGTAATATAACTCATTGAAATACTAGTAAATTTTAACTTAGGTTTTAGTTTTGGAAATGTACTACTTTATTTTAATCCACCTGGGATTAAGGTAAAATAAGGAAAAAATGTGTCCTCCTAGCTTATTTTCGATTATGGCAACGTCTTACGAATATTCGAATGTTTTAACTTTGAAGACTCCCTCGTTGGCTTGGCCAAAAAATTATGTTATTGAGTTTACCGTCAAGAAATTCTCGGTAGCTGCCCGGATTCAGGAAGTTAGCGGTGTCTCACCCCTGTGCCCAGGAAAGCACGTAAAGCCATTGATCCTGTACCTATTCTCTCTGCGGTCGTCATGGTTTACCGTCCCAACGGACTATGAGAGTGAGGGAATAAACAGTGCACCTATGCTTGCGCATACACTTGGGCACTATAATCCTGTCCTGTACCGATGGCTATTCTCCGTTGAGGCTGGACGCCGTGATTAAATTTGGTCTGGAAGACATCATCAATCGAATGTTATGATCTGTAAAAAATCATTCTGCATCTCACCGAAAAGTCCATTGCTAGTCCTAGGCCTTCCGTTGAATTGTGATGGCGTTAGGAACTTGGAACCCATAAGATATTCCTGGCACTATTTCTTTTATTACACCCACGAGACAAAATGAGGTTATGCATTCTCTTACGCTGATATATTACGGCACGGAAGACATTAGAGGGCCAGAAGTGTATGTTCAAATACAGAAATTGCCTGTCATAGCCTACGCTCACCCAATATAACACTTAGAAGATAAAATTAAAGTGGGTTACGTATCAGAGACACATGGACAAACAAAATAAATTTAACGTTTGTGCCAATTTTAAGTGTACATCTGCCCCATGGGATGTAAGAGGCGACAGAGAGGAACAAAGCAGGAGATGGGTAGCAGCGTCTTCCTAATACCGACAAAAAAATAAAAATAATACTGCGGTTACCAACCCGCCGGCCAAGCGAGGCTGTAGCAAAATCTCTTCAGCATTGGACTTTTATATGGGATTGAATAGGCGAATAAACAGTTTAGGTGTTCTTACTTTTATGCTGGATCGAGCCGTGGGCGAAGCTGTCTCGGAACTTTGCTCTGACGTAAAATTTTTTCGAGTTACAGTTTTAGGAACAACGGCTTCTGTTTTATCTGCATGAGACTTAGCGAGGGTAACAGGGTTGGGTTCTGGGGCTGCCTGCGGAGGCAGCCTGGCCGCTTGCTCCAGTATCACCTTCTTTTGTTCTTGACCCGCCGCGAAATAGGAGAATACGCACAACACCGCGTAGCAAATTTGATCAGCCTAAACATAGAAATTTTTATTGTTATATTTCTCATGGAGCCATACTGAACTTGGTATTTCCACTGATTAACAGTCTTGAGTTACTGAAGAAGTCAATATTAGTACTTTTAATTTTATTGTTTTCGTATTAATCATTGTACACAGCTTATACGAAAATATACTTACAATGCGAAGCGTTACAATATTTTAAATTAAAATTTACAAAATGTAAACACATACATTTAAAAACATTTCGTTATACCTCTTAAGTTTATTATAAGTAAATGCTAAGCGATAGTTCAATATTTTTATAATAACACCAGATTAGACAGAGATACAGAAAATAATGTGGTGACAAGGAAAAAAAGCATGTATAAGGTAAAAAATACATATAAAATTTCTAATTTATATATAACTAATATTAAAGGGTTTCTTTAACTGATAGAAAACGAAACAGCAAAAAGTGTAAAAAGACGTGCAAAAACAAAATTCGTAGTGGAAGTACATACATCAGTGTGCGTTATAAAACATAATTGGTGTCGGTTCCATCAGTGTCGATAATGATATAGTATCGAGAAAGCCATATGGAGAAGAAACGATGAAGATCAAGCACTACTTTCTCTGCCTACAACATAAGACATGGGATTGTAAAAGAAAAACAAACAAAAATACATTAAAACATGGATGCAATAAACATATTAAACAGCTTATACTTGCCATAATAGATTTGTATTTGCGTTGTATTATCTGTCTTGTTTTTGGATCTAAAAAAGAAATTTTGTTTTTAGTATTCCGTATTCTTTATTATGGCGTTACAGCCTACAGCTAGAACATGGACCACTAGCATTGTAGCAAATATTCCAACACCAACGTAACGCTTGGTTGGCGGATTGGCAATTGCAATGTCATATATCTCCCCTCCCACCTTTGATGTTGCTCCCTGTCACAGCTCTGGGCATTTTATGCCTGGTTTAAATTATTCCAGTCCAGGACTGTACTGGATTTGTAACGTCTAAATTATTGCAGTTATTCCGCAGAAACAACTAATACGTGTTTACTGTGTCAGCACTAGAATGGCACTGGATTGTCTACATTATGCCCGGTTTACATTATTCCAACCCAGTAATCGAATCCAGCCCTGGATAGCTTATCCAGTAATAATTCCAGTCCAGTAACTGGATTGGCGGTCTACTTTTGAATCCCGTGCGACAAATCCAGTGCAACTGGAATAATGTAGACGGCCAATCCAGTGTCATTCCAGTACCTACGTTTTTGCGGATTATTGCGGCGAAGGCTAAATAACTGGAATAATGTAGACGTTACAGATCCAGTCCAGCACTGAACTGGATTCTCGCTGGATCCCTGGACGGGAATAATGTAAACCGGGCATTATTCCAGTTGCACTGGATTGGTCGCACTGAATTCAAAAGTAGACCGCCAATCCAGTTACTGGACTGAATAGTTACTGGATTCAGTGCATTCCAGTGCCGGTTAACATTTTTTCAGTAAGCTATCCAGCACTGGATCACTGGACTGAAATAATGTAAACCGGGCATTAAATCAGGAATATACGCCATGGTTCCTGATAAATGGCGATATATATGGTATATCGCCATTTATCAGAAGCCATGGGATTTTTGTGACCGTGCAGATTGTCTTTCCTTACGTTGCTACATGATACTTACATATTTCACATGATACTTTATAAAATCCAATGACAGGGTTATACATTAGCGGGTGAGTTTTGTCCTGCTGCGTGGAGGTTTTGTTAGTGATCATGAGTTTTATTTTTTAGATACTACCAAGAATTATATAATGTTTACATTTTTAATCGGTACTTAATGGTATTTAAGATTATAATTATTAATGTACGTGGTGCCAGAACCTCACATCCCATTGCCCTCCATGGTTGCTTTTGTATTTTAATATGTGGGGCAGGTGGCATGTGCTCACGTAGCGTTGACTCTTCACAAGTCAGATAAGCATCAAAATAAATATAAGCACTATTCAATTTACCACCATTAGCCCGTCAGCATTATTTACATACCTTGGAAAATTTTCCTCAATCGCACTCATTGTTTGGCAATCTCATTACCACACTACTTTGCACGTTATCTTACGCTCTTAAAAGCTTTAAACTATAGTATGTGCCAAATCGATTGAGAAAAACGGACAATGACCTCAGATATGAGCCGAGTGTCAAAAGGCGAACTTACAAAATCTCAATTTAGATGTAATAACAATATTTAAATATTGATACTATTCACACTTCTAGATCAGCACATATGTTTTTTTGTTTCTAAAATAATATTGTCTGTGGTTCCTATAAACATCGTAAAATCTTACGGTACATCGCGAAAAATGTGTTATAATTGGTAAGTAACGCAGCAATTCATTTAATAACAGTTTCATATTAAAAAAATATTTGAAACAATATAATCACCATATTGAGCTTTTGCAAATTCATCCCTTTAAAATAAACAAAACGCGCGTTACGTCAGTTCGCTTTAAATGAAACGTGACAAGGGCAGCCGGTCCGCATGCACTGAATAAAAATAAAGTTCTTATATAATATTGAAAATAAAGTTTTATCTTTTGAATAAGCACGTACTTATTCGGTGTCGTTATCACTCGAATCTTTATATGTGTTATAAATTAATGCTTTTTGTTGTTAAATGAAAAAAGTACTTTATAACAATAGATGATTTTTCTTCTACAGCGATCTTTTAAATAAGTTTTAATAATAGTTAATAAATATATATTATATCAATCATTATAAAAAATAAAATAAAAAACCCCTTATAACCCCTGGTTAAACGACCGAAAGGTCATTGTCCGTTTTTCTCAATCGATTTGGCACATACTATAGTAAAATCAGTATATTTTAACGGTTCTCTGGCAATTTAATTAATTGTTTCACAATATAATCCAAAACCTTTTCAGATATCATTAACAGGAATATATTATTCTCAGAGTTATGTTAGAAGTAATAAAAGTTTTAGTTTTAGAAAGAAATAGACAAATGAAAAATGAGTCCTGAGTCAGATGTAGTTGTAAAATCTAAAAGGCTAACAGCTCTAACATCACAGATTATAGAGCGACAGACGGAGAAGACATATGTTTTCTAAATATCTATATACATATTACTATTTAATATCGGACTTACTGAATTCTTCTAAAACGAAGATTCCGCCATTCTGAGTGAAACATTTTCGTATGTGATCCAGCCGTACAAAGAACTGCAACACAAGTAAATAATTGAGAAGATAAAGTTGAGACTACTCACAAATATATATATATATATATATATATATATATATATATATATATATATATATATATATATATATATATATATATAATTGTAAAAAATACTACGTGATTAAAGTGAACAATGCCAATTTACATTAGATAAGATATTGACAAAAACGTATAGGAGTATTATTAAATGTAAATAAATGTTCAATACTAATATATTATATATACACTGTTTGCTTATTATTAAACAGTCTCTTGTTTCACGAGAATCACTAGCAATAAATAAGACTGTTTTCCTTTTTTATTTTTAAATCGAGGAAAATTTTATATAATATGCAAATATTTAGGTTTATAATTTATTAGCTTTAAAACCTAGCTAAAATGTGACTGTTTAAGTTGAAACAGTGATTTGAAGAAAATCCGTAATACTGTAATGGGAATAAATTTACCTATCTGTAAACTACATATTTTATAGGATTTAATTCGTGAACGTTTTGATCCAATAGCGTTATACAACATAATTTCTACGACTAGTATCTATACACAGTGGACCCCTGTCTAATCCGGCACCCCCTGTAATCCGACATGGTCTATTATTTATTATTGAATATTTTTTGACAATCTTCGCTAACGCATGATTGAACAAGTTATAACTTGTACGCCCCACCACTATTGTGCTCAACGCGTAGGCGTAGGGTATTGTTTTGATTCTGATTGAAAGATTTGATTCTGTAAATGGTTGAGAGATCATAGTTTTGTGCACACGGTGTGCAAATTTGATTAAAATCGGTTGAGTAGTTTAGGGAGTGTATCGCGGACAAACAACGTGAGACGTAATTTATAAATATTAAAAGATTTTATATATATATAATATAGAATCTTATCATTGGATTTGTAATTTGTCGGATTACAAGATACTCTATTGTAAAAAAAATCGGACTGTGGGGGTCTTAGGCAGTACTCTATAATCCGACAAATTCGGTAGTCCGATACTGCCGTGTAAAATGTTTGTCGGATTACCGGGGTCCACCGTATGTAGATATTATAGGTATTAATGTTTTAAAGGTATGTTTATTATAAGGTGGCATTATTCACATTACACTTTTATAAGCGCACCATGCACTACATGCACACATGCTACAGGAGCTTTAGGCAACTTGATGCGATGATTGCACTTCGATTCACTAACTTTGAACTTTATATGTTTTTCAATTCCTATTGCCATTTGTTAGTGTATCGAAGGTTCTAGAAATGTTCAACGACGATTACTCTCGAATACGCCAATCAGCAGCCGATTCGCACGTCGACTTTTGATAAAATAAATAATATAGAGCAAAAGTGCGAGGCGGTGGAGTTTAGTGGAGAGTGGTGGTGGTAGTGCAGAGTGCGAGGTCAGGGGAGGTCAGGGGAGGCTAGGGAGAGGGGAGGGACGTGCTTAGGACACCGCGCGGCGGAGCCCGGGGCCGCGCCAGAACTTGTGAGATGGCGAATGCTCTAGGTCTGACCTCGTGACTCGCGTCTGCTAAGCTCGTATCGCTCGTGACGCTCGCTCGGGTTCCGGGTGATTGAGGACAAACGCACTAAAATCTCGACACACGGTGCGAGAGTGAAAGAACGAGACCGCCGCCGGACGATCCGTGATGCTTATGCAAGCTGTCGGGTGCGGTAATGAACAAATAATAAACAAAGGGCGTCTATGTGCATGCTCGACCGCGCGCATCGGCGCTCGCCGCACTCGGGAGTACTAAAACAACGCTAACAACGGCTAAAAACAATCGGTAAGCCTCAAAACTACAAGTAAAGCCCTACGACCTCGAACGATCATCGCTAGTCGCACACGTTACAGTGACCGTGACAGTGATCATAAAGGTCGTAGAGGTCGTGTCGATCATCGTAAGAGTCAGCCATTACTAGGTTATGAACCACTGAGTACCTCGAAATCCTTTAGCGCAGCAGCGCGGGTTCGGCGTGTCCGGAAAGGGCAGAACAGACAAAAAGAAGATAATTAGTTGAGGGCGGCCGAGCGCGTGTCAAGGACCATCTCAAAAGTTCCTACGAGCGACAGCTGGCGCTCGGACACCGGCGCCCTCGCCGCGCACTCCAGCGGTACACGAATATTGCGGACAAATAGCACATGCACAAATTATATGGAGTATACTTAAATTAGACAGATTAGATAGACAACGGTCAACCTTAAAATATAAAAAGATCTAACTATTAGGTACATTGATTTAGTATAAGAGAAAGTTAGAGCAGAATACAATATTAATCCGACATAAGCTGTATCAAGAAAGTATGGAAAAAGTAAAATCGATCATAATAAAAACATATTACGAAAATAAAATTTTATATAGAAAAAATAATAAGTACTTTAAGAAAATAATTACAGATTAAATTAAAGAAATCGAAATAGGAAAGTTTGAGTGGTCCTTGCAACGGAATGTAATATTATTGGTTCAGATTAAATGATTACTGGGGTTATCGACAACTAGGTAACTCTTGAAAATCCCAAGACTCAACACAGCTAAAAACACATTTTTTTTCACCCCCCGTACTTATTTCCCACTTTAAAACGTTAAGAATTGGAGGTCTTAAATATTTCGGGCTGATTAAATTAGTATTAATGCACTACGTCACCGGCACAATACTGAGACAGAAGCTTTGGCTGCATGGGACACTCTCCCATTGCCGATAAACTGTCGCACAATCAGTTGTATGACATTTTACATGTGCCTTTCATTTTATACGAATTTTCCCAAAAAGTTAAGCGTAAACACTGACATTAACCTTACCTGATATTATTTATATTATGATAATACCAAAACTAATGTCATTACATCTCACTGTCCACACATCAATCGACTGGAGATTGTTTTGGTATATCACTGCAAATACATTTAAAAAGCTGATAAAAATTAGAAAGAATATAAATGTACACCGTACCTTGCTATGATGGAAAAGTAGCCCGACGCCTTCCATGCACACCTTGAAATTGTTTGAGTTGTTAAAAAAGTTATATGCATATAAAAAAATAAAACAATTAATTCAATAATTATTATTTAAATCTCGATCGCCAAACCGCCTGCCAACCGTGGCGATAAAGGCAGCTAACATTTACGTGCTAAGACTTTTACGAGAAAAGTAAATATAGGATCCAAAGCAGGGGTTCTTCTTTAACCGGCAACACACGTTTGTTTTGGTGAGGCAGAATAGCACATACATAGGAGGTTGTAGAAAAGATTAAACCCTTAATTAGACGCATGAAGAAAATCACACAATTAGTCGCCCTAGAGACCCCAAATAATTAGTTGAAATTAAAATATTAGAAATAAATAAAACAATTTATGTGTTGTCTACAATATTAAAGTTCTTTATTATGATTAATTTTAAGAAACTAACATATTTTGATTTTAAACAATGAAAAAAAAAATAACAAAACTTCTAATCTCTCTTTAAACTACAAATTTTTTGCTTAGACGAGATCAAAGTTAAAAAATAATAATCCGATTCATTAGCAGATTCTTCCAGTTTTCATTCGACGTAATATACTCTAAAATGTTGTTGACAAATAAATTTACCACTCTTATTGCATTTGTCGATTTTTTGTAGAATTAGTAGTTTTGTTGAAGTAGAGAGACTGCTCCGTTGAATGCGACGTTTTTGGTGATTTTCTACAAGTGCTACCACAAATTTATCAAAAAAAAATCTGTTGGTTATTCTTATCAGTATTCAGTATTACTCATAACATTAGCAGGACCAGCAACATCTTGCCATCGTTGTACACATTCGCCAGCCATTACAGTATCTCTCTTTCGCAAGTCATCTTAAAACTGCAAATTTAAAAGAAAAGAAATTCAATAAAGTAAAGACAAAAATAGTTAAAGTGAATAGACTCTAATGGTGGCCACACACGGTCAGTTAAAGTAATCATTCCAACTGATCAGTTCAAACTAAAACTGTTGATATTTTTTAAAATATCGGATTTTCGATATATCCATAAATAAATCTAATCCATCAATAAATCCATCGATAAATCGAAAATCCACTATTTAAAAAAAATATCAACAGTTTTAGTTTGAAATGATCAGTTGAACTGACCGTGTGTGGCGTCCATAACAATACGCAAATACTAATAAAAACAAATAAGAATATACAAATACAAACTAAGTAAAAACACAAAAATTTTAACTTACCTCGGCCAAAAAATGTTACGTAAGTGGTCTCATGGGGTATGCTCCAAACATTCAAACATATTTTTTTTTCAATTTGAAATTGTCTTAACCCTATGTGCCCAAATAAAAGTTAATGAATTGTCTTGCGGATTCGGCATCAAGCATGATCAAACATGGGGTTATTCCGTATTCATCTTATGACGTTTCATCCTACGATATTTTTTTACTTACTCATCATATTTGTATTCCTTATTTAACCTACAGCAATTATTTGATTTTAAAAGGAACATTTATTAGATTTTTTTCCAGAATTTCGATAAGGTATTATGTATGAGACTTTAGAACTGAAGTAATTTAAATAAGTAAATATTTGTGTACGTTGTAAAGTCATGCGGCAGCTGTATTTTGCAGCATGAGTGGGTCGACTTGATTGTAAAGGACCTCGCTGTTATAGCGGTGGTACTTTACTTCGTATGGTAAAGTCCGAGACCTGGAAACACCTTTAACTGGTAATGAGGTATTTTATCTTAGTTACACTGACCTTGATTTATTTAAATTGAATTTTTACATTTAAAACTGGCCCTCTAGTACCTACCTGAATAAGGCCGCCTTCACCAGTAGCGCAATCTTGTATGGGGAATTCACCGCCAAGTTCTGCCGCATCCTGACGTCGTCCACTCTTCTCCATTGCTTCTTTGATGCAGTAATATAACGCTTTGCACTGTTAAGAGAGTAGTCGGAATGATAAATCCAATGTGTGATAATTTTTACGTTCGTAATCATAGAATACTATAATACATACAATAGTATTCTATGTTCGTAATCTATAAACACTAGACACCATAGACCAGGGTCGATAATTTTAGAAACGAAAAAAAATTAAAGTAGGATGAAACCTATTGGAAAAGGAAGGGAATACCACTAAAATGATAGGAAAAATAAATTACGGGCGATCTGAGGTTGGGAAGGGGTGGGGGGATGAGTTTTTAAGGGTAAAAATCGGTAAATCTCGATTTCCGGCAAAACTACAAGTCCTATCGAAAAAAGTTCAATGGCAAAACTGTAGATAATAAAAAGATCTACAACTTTTGTATCTATAGTTTTTCTCCATAACCTCAAAATTCATGTGAAGAATCCAAAAAACCACATTTTTGATTTTTATCTTTCACAAAAAAATTGTTTTTTTTTTCATGATATTTGGTGAAAACTTATCTCTTTATGCCCCAAACATACTGGAATTTTGAAGATTTAAAATATTAATTTTTTTCACCCTATTTTGACTCGATATCGAAAAAACACCCTAATTTTCAATCGAAAATTCTCACGTCAAAATATCTGATTTTTCAAAAAAGTCGGTGGGCTTTTTGTTCGGTGATATCTCTATTTTCTGATGGTGTAAAAAATATACATTACTATTGAAAAAATTTTCAGAAAATGCAAAAAAAAAAACGAAAAATACTAAAATTCGATTTTTTTTTAAAATCTTTATGTACAATTTTGAGGTATTCATTAAAATTTTTACTTTAATTACTTGAAAAACGTTAGGTTCCATGTTAGATTAATAAACAAAAAAATTACAAACCAATTAAACATAAATATCGCAAAAAACATAGTTGTTGTAAATATTAAAAATACGATTTAAAGTGGATTTTATTAAAAAAATGTGACTACTGCTATTTTTTCAGTAATAAAAGTTTATTTATTAAATTTTCATTACATTTATATATTAGAAAATCTCATTAGATAGAAATATACACGTAAATCGTACTATTGAGTAGAGATATTTTTTAATGATTACATTACACATTATATTATTTTTAAAATTATTTTGTTAATTTCTTGATCGTTAGATTCGACAGGCCTTTCTGATTCTAGTAGATCTTCGACATCTTCAAGACCATCATCGTCTTCGTCTCCAACATTATTTTCGGTCTGCATTGGTTCTTCATCCGCAATTTCATCTGAATCATTAACTTCCTCGTAGATTTTTTTCTCCACATTGGCGCATTGTTCAGAACCATGACAATTTGACAGCCACATTTTAAACTATTACATCCAGTTTCACAGCTGCAACAAATAGTTTTCAGCAATTTTTCCGGAATTAATTCCATTTCTGTAAATTTGGGCATAATTCCATGTTGATGTTGCTTCCAGCCCTAATCTGTTACTGTCAATTCATTACCCAGTCCACGTTTGAAGCTGATAATATGCCCTGTAACAATGTTGTTCTGCTGCACCTTCTGTGGGTGGGAGATTTGCCAATATGAAAGATGATTTAATTTTTGCCAATTGATATTTTTGAAATCTTAATTGATTCAGTGTTATATTATCCTTTTTACATTTATAGATTTAATTAATTTCAATCCATTTTTTTATATCTTCTTTGTTTACATCTTTTTTTAAATATTAGCCAAATTTGACAAATTTTGATTGTCTAATAATGAATTTACGATATTTTTCTTTCCTTTTGCGGCAAATCCGAAAGCCTCTCAGGTATATAGGTATAGTTTTAAAATAGCAATAAATAGGTACATATAATTTAAAGAAAATTCGACAAATTTCTCAAAATTTTGTAGATATCATATTAAATATTAACTTTATTAACTTATTTAGTTGTTAATTACATTTCGACTTGCAATTTTTTGTTTATTAATCAACCTAACGTTTTTCGAGTAAATAAAGTAAAATTTTTAATGAATACCTCAAAATTGTACATAAAGATTTTAAAAAAAAAATTCGAATTTTAGTATTTTTCGTTTTTTTGCATTTTCTGAAAAATTTTTCAATAGTAATGTATATTTTTTTACACCATCAGAAAATAGAGATATCAACGAACAAAAAGCCCACCGACTTTTTTGAAAAATCAGATATTTTGACGTGAGAATTTTCGATTGAAAATTAGGGTGCTTTTTCGATATCGAGTCAAAATAGGGTGAAAAAATTAATATTTTAAATCTTCAAAATTCCAGTGTGTTTGGGACATAAAAAGGTAAGTTTTCACCAAATATCATGAAAAAAAAATTTTTTTGTAGAAGATAAAAGTAAAAAATCAAAAATGTGGTTTTTCGGATTTTTCACGTGAATTATGAGGTTATGAAGAAAAACTATAGATACAAATGCTGTGGACCTTTTTATTATCTACAACTTTGCCATGGAACTTTTTTCAATAGGACTCGTAGTTTTGCCGGAAATCGAGATTTACCGATTTTTACCCTTAAAAACTCCCCCCCCATACCCCTTCCCAACCTCAGATCGCCCGTAATTTATTTTTCCTATCATTTTAGTGGTATTCCCTTCCTTTTTCAATAGGTTTCATCCTACTTTAATTTTTTTTCGTTTTTAATTATTTTTGACGGCTTTGACCCTGGTCTATAATGAACCGACTCTTGCAAATAAGATTAGAATTAAATAATCAATTCAAAATGAATGAATTCATATAATGCTCAACTGTGCTATAATGTTGTAGGATAATAGTAATAATTAGACAAAGAATAGTACACAGGTGAACGAAGTTTTGATGAGTAAAAACGCTATAATATACCTAAATAGATATGTAGATTATTTCTCAGGTTATCGTTAAATAGGCTAATGTTACCGTGCGACGGTGGGACGGTTAAATGTGATAATATATCCAAACTAAATTAGTAACATCAAATAGAATTTATTTATTTTTAATGATTTTGCTAATCTTGAGGCACTTAAAATGTCTTTCCATATTGTTATTGTTACTGTTTTATTGCATGCCAGAACTAACAATAAAAAAGTAGACGGGAACTGACTTGTAATAACATACCAAGAATCTTGATCCGAAATAAAGTGATTATTATTATTGTTACGAGCTTAGGGTTCGTGACAATAAAAACTGCCGATTTAATTACCAAAATTGACACTTTAATTACTGAACACCAATTAAAACTTAAATCAAACATAATAATGAATCTACACTAACACTTTAATTCACTTTATTTTGCTCCGAAAGCTTCCCTCGTATCGCCAATTCAATACTGCCCCGATCGCGGCTTTCAACGGCTTTATATAGGCCTTTTCCACCGAAACATCCAGAATATTCCAGCAAATACCGGCCCCGACCGACCAGGTGCAGAAAGTTTGAGTGTGGGGCTTTCTAGAAAGCTTAGTTCTTCCATTCTATACTAGATGGCGCTAGTGGGAGAGTTTTAGAAAGATCTTGACGCTCCTATTTCTGCTGCTTGATACCAGATGGCGTTAGTAATCAGCCGCCATATACCAGGCGCTAATTATAGCGCGCAACATTATCTTAAGTCACACACAAAAAAATCGTCGCATAAGAAAAATACTGATGTGATGGTTACGTTTTTTTTTTGTTGCGATGTATGTATTAATACGAACATAGGCCTTCTGTATAGATTGTCTCATAGGCAGGATTTTGCCATAGTTGCCACGCTTGACAGACGGATTGGCCACAGCACAGCAGAGTGATTATCAAGAAGATGCTGCTGCCCATCCCCTGTTTCAGTTTTCCTTTGTCGCCTCTTACAGATGTCGTAGATCGATATAATATTGTTTCAGTATATGTTTATCCCAAATAAATCGTAATAATAAGATATGGGTTGACGAACATAATTCACCATTATGTGATTTAGTTGTGCGGGGAACGTCGTACGTGAATTTTTGTTATTATAAATTTTTTACGTATATGATGATTTTTACACGTATATGATGAGTTTTTACAACTGATTATGGTGCACTGCAGCATAATCAGTTGTAAAAACTCATCATATACGTGTACGTGTAATTAAACTAATAAAGGCATAACATTTCATCAGCGAGTTGATTATTTATTAATTATCATTGTATTAATTAATTTACATCTAGATGAAACTTTACTACGACATTTATATTTGCAAACTCATTTATTACTTTTCGTACAATTACCATTGCTGCTTTTGTTCTACGGTAATACGCGACACACGCGACGTTGACAAACTCGCCAAGCAATGTAATGTAAACATTAGATATCATTGTGCATTGCGTGTGTTTATAATACGGTAAGATGTGGCGACATCGGTATTGGAAGTAATCGAGCGCTAATTCATTTCTATTGTCTTATTATTACGATTTTTGTTGTTTATCCGTTCGTTTGTGACTTATTGTAGCCGCAAGCCACAAGGACTTGATTAAAATCTTAAATATTATTTTAATAATCTAACAAATAACTTTCGACACTATTTTTTTAAAGATCAATTGACGGCAATTTCAAATGTAATTTTCAGAAGTGTTGAGACAAATTATCAACCGCCGATTTAAAATCGATTTACAAATCGCAGCGCGGGGTAGGTCTAAGCGCTTACCTTGTAAGGCTAGGAGTGAAGAAATCTAATGCCCGAGCATAATATGACTCTCTTCAAGCTGTGATAATATTTTAAATAACGAACCGTTTACGGATGTTTAACATTGAAGATAGCGGTGTTTAAAATTTACCTTTTTAGTATAATATTTGTGAAGTTGCGTTTGACCGCCGTTTTTTCTCCAAAGGCACAAAATTCGTATTTTGGGGCTATAAGTCATGTTGACTAATCGCTCGTACCACCACCGCTCCACTATTGTACCTGAAAGTTGAATGTATAAGTAAAGTATATACAATTCACAAAACTATTAACCAAACCATTGTTTATTTATTAACAATTAATTCTTAACTTGAGCGTATCAAAGAAATGTATAACTTTACAAATGCAATTATGTATCTAGTGTCGCATCACAATTAAATACAATCGTCAATGTCACACCTATGCCGGTAGTTGTTGGGAGCACTAAGCACTAAACTCGAAGTTGTTGACGAGTAAACGTACTCGTACCTGGGACAAATAGTCCTACTATGTAAGTCAAACTTCGACCGAGAGGTCAATAGACGGATTCAACTCGGCTCGGCAGAGTTCGGGAGGTTAGGGCACATCTTCTGGTCAGGTATACCTCAAAACTTGATAACGAGACTGTAAGCCAGTCCGTTTTGCCAGTAATGAATTATGGATCTAAGACGTAGTCCTTCACTGCTGGCCGTATGAGGAAGCTTAAAGTCTAGCTATGGAGAGGGCTATGCTCGGGGTTTCTCTGGGTAATAATCTTAGAAATTAGGATATCCGAAATAGAACCAGAGTGACTGACATAGCCCAACGGATTACATAGCTGAAGTGGCAATGGGCCGGCCGTATAGCTTGAAGAACCGATAACCGATGGGGAAAAAAGGTTCTCAAATGACAGCCTCATACCGGCAGGCGAAGTGTAAGGCGACCCCACACTAGATAGAGTGATTACCTGGTAAGACATGCAGGAAGTCGATGGATGCAGGTGGCTCAGGACCGAGCTTTGTGGCATTACTTGGTGGAGGTTTATGTTCAGCAGTGGACTTGTGAAGGGCTGTAATGATGATGATAATGATGTAAGAAATAATAATGAGGACATAACAAAAGGGAACAAAAAGACAAATAGATAAAAAGAATTGTTAAAATACTGGTTTATGTGTGTACCTACATTAAAATTAATATTTTGAGCTGGAAGTATTTACAGTTATTTGTCAATATTTATGTATTATCAAAATTCATTAGTAAGTAAGCAGCATTAAAAAAATAAAATTATCGAAAAGTTTTTAGTGTCATTACGAATCGTTTCGTACTCAGTCCAATACATTTCCAGCCCCCAAACATGTCGGTTTCCGAAAAGTCTTTACTACCATAGACCGCATACATAGATCATAACATACGATCGGTTCAGAGTTGGAACGGCGGAAACACAGGTGCGTTATCTATTCCCTCACTCTAATAAATCGATGGGACGAAAATCCGGCACAAACAGAGGGAGATCAGTTCCAGGACCACCTTTACGTGCTTTCCGAGGTACAGGGTTCAGACACCACCAACTTGCGGACTCAGGACTACTACTAACAATTTCTTGACTGAGTCCGGCCAGTTCGGGAATTCAAAACCGGTAGCACATGATACGCAGTCGTACTTATGACCACTAGATCGATGAGGCAGCCAACTTCGCGAGGATACACAGAGAGCTAAAGAGTATAATCTGTAACTATGTTTCGCGTATCATAACTATGATAAGCCTTTCGATTAAGTCAAAATTTGTGCAGTGTTGTCCCTTCTGAGGAGCGGTGTTTGGCGACCCGCTAAATAAATGGAGTGATGACCTGAGACACGATGGATGCAGGTGACTCATGACCACACTTTGTTTTTGATTTTAGATTGTAGCAATCTATTTGGCAGGCTGGCTTGCGATAGGCTGTAGTGAATATTCAATAAAATTTAAATTATACACCGTATGACGCTTCTAATATTATTTAATGTTTGAGAGGACATCATTTTACGAAAAACTCAGAACAGTTTGTGCTCAAGTAACTTTACTGCCAGTTAGGAATAAAATACAACATTGGAAGAGTACCCTGTGTAGAGCGCAGCACGAGCCCGTCGTCGCGCACCTCCATGAAGCGCAGCTCGCCGCCCGCCTCGCCCTCGTGCACCGTGAACGTCGCCCGCCGCAGCTGCCGCGACCCCAGCGGCTTCAGCTCGATGTCGTTGCCGTGCTGTGAAAAAAAAAACAATACATCAACATATTATAACAGTCCAAAGTTTTTTTTCCACGGTTGACTGTTAAAGAGTACCAGCATTAAATAATGAATTTATAAGTTTTAGTTCCCTTTATAATATTATAATAGTGCCGTAATAAGTGGCTGCAGCAATCCAACTGGGTCGAAATTTATATGACAGTTATATGAGACATTAGACACAGAAAAATTAATAATTATGATGATAAAACGTAATATTTATGTCAATTAATCAAACCAATTAACACATGTGAAAATAATCCTATAGATATACTCGTATAATCAAACTATAATTAAACCAGTACATAATCACTACTTTTTATTTATAATTTTCAATAAAAGTAAAAAAGTAAAGTTACGGCCTATATACGTCCCACTGCTGAGCACAGGCCTCTCTTCATTTCTGAGAGGGTTATAAATTAGCTTATAACTTTCAATATTAGGACTAAATTAAAGTGAGAAATTTTAAAAACTACCTAATTTTGATTTTCTAATATTCATAGTTATTTTGTAAAAATAAACTAAAATAGTAAATATTATGGAAATAATATTCCATAATATTTAGATACTACTTTATAGCAAAAAAATTGCTTACCAAATTATGCACAACATCAAGAAGATGGTTGACTTCTTGACTGTAAATAAGTCCAATGTGACTCTTAGCAAGCAATCTCCGTACTTTATTACGTACTACGTCAGCTTGAACCCCAAACAACACCATGGCCGCAGTTAAATTGTACAGTGCTGTCGATAGCAGTCTATCTTCTTCATGTTCTAAACGTTTCCTCTCTGTCTCACTGAGACACTTGTAGCGCTCCATCATTTCGTTGGCACCTTGGTCCATGCCTATCATATCTCTTTCTTGACTTACAGCGTCTAAGAATGCGTCCTCCCAGAATTGCATTTGGTCCCATAAATTCGATCTTTCTTTACCTATGAAAAAATACTTCGGTAGATAAAAAAATTAGAAGACAGCAATTCTTGTAATGTTTTCATGTTTTCTTGTAATACAAGTTTCAAACAGTAGGAATCATGAAATTCACGCACTATTCCTTTATCAACTCAGTTCTAAATGTTTAACTGAGCTATTCGTTAAAATACCTTGATCATTTGACTGTGCGTAAAATTAACAAATCCGTATACTCAGTATTCAGTTTCTAAAGAGTAAGTTTTATTGATTTTTTATACAGGAAAGAGATACAAACAAGCACAGCCCAGTCCACCTCATTTTGAGTGAATAGATCCCTTCATCTATCCTCGATTAAGAATGAAAACGCATCTGTGTTTTCATTCTTAATCGAGATCAGTACCCTTGAGTACTAAAATTGATTGCCTTGTTACCAGTGAAAAGGTTCACCGATTCTTGTCACAGTAGTATTTTGCTGCTAATTTACACTGGTATTCTGTGCGAGCATGATCCTTCCTTGTTTGAGCCGACCCATTCGTACTGTAGACATCACAGAAATCTAAATAATAAGACAATAGATTTCTGTGGTAGACATAATTCTAATTTCCATTATGTTATATTTATTCAGTTCCAATGTTAATTTTGATTATTTGACAATGATTAATAAATTTTTTTAATAGGAAAGGGGGCAAGTGAGCATATGGCTCACCTGATGGTAAGTGATTACCGCCGCCCATGAACCGGCCTTTTAAAAAGGAGTGGGCTCTTTTCTTGAAGGTCCCTAAGTCGTATCGGTCCGGTAAAATCTCTGGTGGTAGTCCATTCCACAAGGAAGTTGTGCGAGGAGGAAAACTTCTTATATGAGAATTTTCTTTAAATACATTAATTTTTAAATTTTGTATGTAATGCAATATTCGTTTACCTATTAGGCCTTGATATAGGTAGGTCCTCGCTGTGTCAGGTGAGGTGAGAGGCGATGTGGTAGGAACTCCAACCGGAGGACGATAGCCGCTCAATGAAGATTTCGAAGAGAACACACTTGCAGCGCGAGGCTTATTCCCCACAAGCCCTTCTCCCCTTCCGGCTTGCTAGATTGAAAATTAATTAAAAATATAAACGATCATGAAATATGTTGGAAAAGTTGATGAAATTAAGAAAAACGCAAGAGTGTCAAATGGTTTTTATTGCTAAAATGTGCTGAAAATTATACACACTATGTATGTATAAATACATTTAATATGCTTAACTAATAGGTAACTTACTACATTTAATTTTACTTCTAATTTAATATTTATCGGTGCTATCTTTACACTGAGAAAGTAATTGACAATATATAACTCTACTACTTATAGAACATGCAAAAGTCTTTAAAATCTACGTCTTTTATCAAGAACACTAACTTTATGTACAGTCAAATCTGGCAACTTTACCAATGAAAGGACTTTGCCATCAGATATGCACAGGTACTTACAAAATTACGATTAACCCAGACAAAGTAACTTTTCTCGTATTAAGTTATTTATTGGATGTACATTTAATAACTAATTGACAGCTTTGTCTTCGATATGGCAACATGAGAGTTAATTTTGGTATTTTATTTTGACGTGGAATTGCGCCGGCGACCACGTAACCTTGTTCTGTGCTCCAGAACTTAGAATCTTAGTAATAACGTAATGTTAATAGTTAGGAAATATAATATTGCCTTTTTAACATGGTGGTCTTAACGTTTATCTATAAAATGGACTTAGCAAAGTTAACATACTAGGGATGCCAAGATGAGACGAGTATTTTGCCATGTTTTGCTACAACCACTTGTCACTTGCAACCTAAATTTTTTTTAATTACGGTGATGCAAGTAGGCTTAGCACGCACTGCGATTAAACGCGAGCGGTTTAGGAATAGCTGAAAACGCAAAACCGCATACGATCACGCACTGCGGCTGGCGTTTGGCTTAATTTTATTTCAGTACCACCATGGATTTCGAGCAAGTAGCATGTGTAGTCGCTTTGGCATTTAATTTAAAAATAGAAAACGTAAACAACGGCGCTACCATAAGTACTGGGTACATCCACTAACAGATCAAAGACATCTGTAAGGACACATTTGCAAAATATACAACGACGTGCGACAACATACCGATAAGTTTTTTAATTACCACAGAATGTCGATTGGTACCTTTGATAAATTATTACAAGCTGTAGGCCCAGTATATACAACATGAAGACACTGTATTTCGTAAGAAGATATCACCTGAAGAGTTGAATAAAAACCGAACGCGGTTAAGAGCAGTGCGTGCGCTGCCTTACTATTACAAACCGCGATCGAAATATAGCAAATTACGTTTTTAAAATCAGGCACTGAAAAAAATCGCTAATGCGTGCGCTTGTATAGAAAGCTTTGTGTTACATTTTTTTTGCGGTTTCGGACGTGCGGTTAAACGCGTGCGTTTAATCGCAGTGCGTGCTAAGCCGTACAGAAGATTTAACATTCTATGTATTGTTTTATCTATTAGACCGATATTATCAAATGATTTGTCAATCAATTCTTCTTTATCAAAAGTGAAGGAAAAGAAAAGGGAAATCTATATTATTTTAACTGCGTTAACAGGTATCTATTAATAATACTATTTACTCAGTATTATAATTAGTTTTTTCATATTTTCAACTTAGTCTATCGACATTAATTTGCGTCCAAAGAAAAGTGTAGCTATACTTTTTAATGATCATGAATGTTTTTCTATAGTGGGAAGACAATATTTAGGTTGGTTACAATTTTTTTAACCTGATCGTAATAAAATGATGATGATGAATAATTAAAAAAGAATACTTGTTAAAGTGGTTGTGACAAGTTTTATTTTTAATTTATAGTATAACTGATTTAAGTTTATTATTGCATTAATTTGATTTATAATTTTAGAAGACCTTTTGTTTTATATTATACAACATATAACAAAAACCCTGTGGTTCCCATTAACTGCGTTATCAGAATCAGTATCCAAGCATATAAAAATATTTTTTTTTCAAAAAAAAACATTTAAAAAAATAATTTTAATGAAAAAAATAATTTGCAAATTGTATGTGGTTTTATTATCTGTGCATTGGCCGAGGAGTAAGATGATTGTCATAGACTCCGCTTTATCAATACTCGTGTGTATTATTATGTATGTATGTATGTATTATGTGGTAAACTTACCTTCATCCTTGAAGTCAAATCCTATTATTTTCATTAAAAACGCTGATGGCAAAGTTTGCACAAAGTGAGACTAACTTTGCCATTTTCTAATTTTGAGTATTTTGTGTTTTTAATGTCAGTATTTTTTTAATCACTAATCAATACCAAATGTATGAAGATTATAATGTCACATTTAACACTGACACTCAGTCCGAGGCCGTGAGTACCTTTTTTGTTGGAAAATTGGACCTAGATTTTAAAGTCCTTTTAAAGTTTTACGGTAAGAGAACTAGGCGTTACTTTGCAGATATTTATTATATTCTAGATGTTTAAATTATTGATCAAAGTTCCGCGTTATGCATATTACCTAGTTAAAATTTTGAAAAGCATCCCACTCTGCCCCTGCCACCACTATTCCCTATCTCCAATATCAATCTAGCAGTGAGCTAAACCACCAACTGGCTATTTATACAAACAAAATTTTATGTGATATAAATCAGGCTACACATGTTACGCAGCTATTTAACAACGAACCGAGGGTGTGTGCGTGTCTTCAAGGCAAGAGTGAATAGACCTTTGTTAAGGTACGTCAGTGCACTTTACCAGAATAGTAGTCAAATGCTGACTTATAACAGTTAAAAACCGCCACCTAAAAACAAAACAGGGTGGGTTTTCGGTTTCTGAATGAATCGTCCACCATAATAAAGATGACAAACGACCACATTGTTAAGCTTAGGTTGTATATTACTAGAAAACTATCATCGATGTTTGCAAGTTAGGAACCTCAACGTAGTTTGAGATTCCTAACTTGCCACTCGATTTTATAATTCACACGGATCTTAAACAACTTTTACATCTGTAACCAGAATATCATCAAATGTGTAAATTTAGATGTCTTCAAACAGAATATTTGAGATTTTGTTTAATTAATTTTTCTTCACCATTTACTTATATACTTATTCTGAACCTTCTCTGCAAAGGCCGGTTATTGCAAAATAACCATGTAATAAAACGGTAGGTAGCAAATTCAACAAGCAAGCGGGGCGATGTTGGCAAAACCAGGATGAAGTCAATGTGCAGCACCATGCTTTTTGGAAGCTTATGATGATAATGTTTGTGTAGTAGATCGTACACGGAATAAACTAAGCATTTATTGAAGGTTATTTTATGCGAATTGCCACAGTACCTACGCGAAAAGTCGTACATGTGCAATGAAGATAATACGGATGATAAATTAAATGAGTCATGCGCGAGTGTATCAAAATTCATAACGTTACTTCACATATTTAATATTACGGTAAAAATAAAATGTATTTAAAAAAATTTCATCCAATAGAGATCAATTCTTTATCTACAACACTAACGCGATCAACACTACAAGTATCTCATGGTATTACATACGAGATAACATTTACTAAGACTTACGTTGACGAACATGACGTCAGTGTCAGAGAGGTTGGATTTAAAGGAGGCGCGGTGGTCGAGGAGATTGGCTCGGTTGGTGGTGATGGAGCCGCTCTCGTCGGCTGAGCAATCCGACGAGTGCGCCGCCTGCCACGCACACAAACAATACCAACTATACCAATTTTATCCGTTCAACTATTCCCAGTAACGCTGAAATGGATTCCTTAAACAATCTACTGATAAAAATTACCATTTGATTTAAAATATGCTGAAAAGGCTTGACCTTCGGGAAACTATGAAAAATCACCTAAATTATATTAGTGTCAAAACTGGTGATACCGTATTATATATTTTTATTTTAATGTGGAAATTTTGTGTTTGCTGAGACTGATTTAACTTTGAAAATTATTATTACTTATACGTTACAATACGGTTCAAATTGTCGTTTGGTATAGTGGTTTCAGTTCGTGTGCGTTTATTATATGACACTTAAAAGATACAAAATACTGTTAAATCATGGTTAATATTTCTGAAGTTTAGATTTAATTTGATTCAAGTATAGTATTTTGAATAAAGTTAATATTAATATTTCTATCACATCGAAGGGATAACAAATATAGGTTACAGTGGTATATACAAGCAATAACTTTTGCACGCTTTAATAAAATAAGTAAAAATTGATAGTTATATATCGTAGAAGAAAAATAAAAACATTATTATAATGTTTATAATACATTATAATTCTCGAACACAGATACTGTAATTCCCAAAATGCTGTAGGCCAACCAATGTTTTTTATTGCCCTACCATGTCTATTTCATTGGCATTTATAATCAAGATGAAGCGACCTGATGACAGGGTTTATTTATTAATATTTAAAGGTAGATTGGGGTTTAATCAATAAAATTAAGTAATCTAGTCAATTATAATATACAGACGTGCAAAAGTTTCTACTTCTTCGCTCGCAATTTAACATTTAATACAATGTCAACGCAATCAACATGTAGGTATTAGAAAACCTTATAGGCATGCTGAGGAAGATAGCGTAGTATTGGGTGCGTTTGGCAGAAAAAAGCGCTAGCAAGCGCTTGTAAGCAAAATGGCGATCGTAAGCATTAAGCGTTGTCAAATCGTAAGTAGCTACGAACGTACGACACTTTACGGCAAGTTAGTTTTAACCGGGGAACCTAACCTAATTTAAATATATGTTTGTAAAGTTTTCATGTTAAAAAATTAGCAATCATGATTTTTTAATAACATGTATATGTTTATTCATGTCATTATATTACTTAAAACTAATATTAAACAAAACAACTCATAAACTCTACTTCAAAACAAACAAATTAAATAAGCAAAATGGCGGATTGTGTCAGCGCTACTGAAGTTAGCAAACGTGTCCTGGCCGAAAACTGTTTAGTTTCGCCATTTTGCTTATAAGCGCTTGCTAGCGGTTTTCTCTGCCAAACGCACCCATTGTTTCTTTACAAAATATACATTGTCTGAACGTTTTTGCGTATAATTCCATGAATCTAACATGCGACAATTTTACAACATATATTGACTTCCATCTTAGAATTTAATCACGATTATCTTACTTACATCAGAGTCAAAGGAAGTGAGTTTGCTGAATAGAAGATTTCTTTTCTGATTTAACATATCCTTGAACATTTCTGTGGTGCTCTGTGCCTCTGATGAATCCATTTCAGGGTAGTTAAGGACTGGTACATCTAAATATGACATGTGAAGTTAATTGCGGGCATAATATAAAATAGTTATATTAATTTAAAATAGTTATATCGCTTGTCATATAAATTCAAAAGAAAAGTAATATGTAAAATGTAATAAACTGAAGATTTAGTTTAGATTTCAATAACATAAGTGCGTTTGAAACATTTGTAATTCCAAGTAGAATAATTAAACAGAGATTTTAGTGATAACGAGGCGTTAGAGAGCTTTGTTCTCAAGATTAGCAACGCATACGAGTATGTGCATTTTGATTCTTAATCGTGGATTGATGGTGTTATATGGTCCAGTTACTATCAGGTGGACTAAGTGCTTGTTTGTCACCTTTACTTTTATATACTCGTAAATATCATATTTTTGTTAAGGGATCAAAACCACACACCTGTCTGCGAACTTTTTCTTGATGACGGTGAAGAAGAAGGAGTCTCGTCATGTCGCCCGTAGTGCTCAGTGAGAGCTGAGCCCCCCATACCTCCATGTTCAACACCTGCTACTTCCTTGCTCCAGTAGTGAGTGTGGGCCATTTCCGTCAATTGGAACACCGACGCCATGCCTCCCAGACCAAAATTTGAGTACGTATGCTCTAATCCATGGACAACTGCTTGTAACACTTTAAGCATACCTTTCCAAACGGGTTTGCTGATGAACTGAAATGTCAGAATGTTGTGAAAGCTGCATTGTTTCTTTTAAGACTTAATAAAGAACATTAGGCGGTGCAAAAAACACTACGAATAGTGGATAGCAGAGTATTGATTAGAAATAGATTATAGATATATGAAGACGAAATAAAGTAAGAGGTTAAATAGTGTACTTACAAGTAAATTTTATTTTTTTAAGTTATAAATACAAAAGATAAGAAAAGACTCAATAATTATCTACAGCTTATTTACTAAGTAGTTTTTGTATAGTCGATCGATTTATCGAATTACTTACCACATCGTCAACTTTGTCATTAGGCGTTATTTTTCGATTGAAATTCCTGTTTAACTTGCTGAGTACCATATTTCTATAGGATTCGTCTTCCATTAACTTCTTTAGTCGATTTAATTTTAACCAACCCACACCTTCGCCTTCCAGGACATGCTGCACCAACTGTTAAAAAACTTTGCTATATTATAACGAAATAAGCAGTTAATAAAAGAAAAAAAATATTAACAAATTACTCTCGATTTTTTCGATTGAATTTTGCCCGTAACATTACATACATATTATTTTAGTTTAGGAGTCAATTAATCAAAACCCTCAATGAATTGTTCCAATATTAAGTCTGTGTTCAATAAAAATATATTATTTATATTCCGATTAGTTTATAAGAGCAAAAGCTCTACGTTTCCAAAATAATACAGAAAAAAAAGTTCGAAATAAATAAATTTGATAACCATACTGCAAGCATTTTTAATACCTAAGTATCTAATTATATGGAAAACAAGGTTTCAAAAGCACATTTTCAATTGGCTCAATAGTACCCGGACGACTTACTCGCATGGGTATAATATTTAAAATAGAATATTTTAACTCTGTAAAGAAAAAAAACGATTATTACATAATACTTATTGAAAGTAGTTCATGACGGTATCATCATTACGTCTACTGCAGAACACAAGCCTTCCCTACAGATATCCTCATAGGGGGGATATTTGCCATAGATGTTGTAGTGCGGCCGTGGAGCGCGCCGTGCGCCGCTGCGAGTCGTGTGCTCTGCATGCACCGGCTCCCGCGCGGGAACCACTACTTCAACATATCGTACCCAATGCACCTTGGCAAAAACTTGCCTCAGATATTTTTGAGTATAAAAAGAAATATTATGTCATATTAGTAGACTATTTTTCTAATTATGTTGAAGTTCAAGAAGTAAATAGTATAAACAGTAGAACAATTATTATTTATGAAGGTACAGTATTCCCACAAAATATCAATATACCCACAATAAACTACAGATGCCACGTTTAGCAGGCGGGTTGGCAACTGTGATTTTTTATTATTTTAAAGTTGTTATCAGGAAGATGTCACTTTTCATCTACAGTTTAATCTTTACGCCGCCGCGCCGTGTAGTTGAGGCGTAAAATATAATTGTGGTTATGAAATAATTACTTTCTCGGAGTATTTTATCAAATTACTTGTTTGGAACAAGTAATTTGATAAAATACTCCGAGAAAGAAATTTATTAACAAATCATTCTCGATTTTTTGGATTGAATTTTGGCCGTAACATTACATACACATTATTTTAGTTTAGGAGTCAATGAATCAAAACCCTGAATGAATTGTACCAATATTAAATCTGTGTTCAATAAAAATATATTATTATATACTGATTAGTTTTAAGAGCAAACGTTCTACGTTTCCAAAATAATACAGAAAAAAAGTTTGAAATAAAAAAAAATTGATAACCAAACTGCAAGCATTCTCTATACGTATCTAATTATATGGAAAACTCAGAAAAAGAAATTTATTAACAAATTATTCTCGATTTTTTGGATTGAATTTTGGCCGTAACATTACATACACATTATTTTAGTTTAGGAGTCAATGAATCAAAACCCTGAATGAATGGTACCAATATTAAATCTGTGTTCAATAAAAATATATTATTATATACTGATTAGTTTTAAGAGCAAACGTTCTACGTTTCCAAAATAATAGAGAAAAAAAGTTTGAAATAAAAAAAAATTGATAACCAAACTGCAAGCATTCTCTATACGTATCTAATTATATGGAAAACTCAGAAAAAGAAATTTATTAACAAATTATTCTCGATTTTTTGGATTGAATTTTGGCCGGCAGATGTGCTAGTTGATGCTTTCCTCGCCAATTTTCGATCACGGCAGCAAATTCAGAATTATCAGAAGTTATCAATTACGCAAGAGAGGGGAGAAATATTAAGAAGTGAAACCGTTATGAGTAACTCCCACCAGTGTATAAATAAACAGAGGCACTCGTCTTTAAACCTAACCTACCTGTGCCTGATGTAATGCATATGCGAAGCGATAGGAGGTAGGCTTTTCGTAAGCAGATGTTCCAATAGTTGACATGGGTCGTTCCCATAATAGAACAAAGATAAATGTGGCTCGCACCTTTAACCTCGATTTTTTTTTAAATATGGAAACTGCATAATGGAAGAAGCCAACGTCCAGCGTTGAACTATCTCTGGTTGATGAAGATTTTTGGTTTATTGTACGCGAGTGGATATGGGATCATAATACATAATAATAACGTCCAAGTCAAAACCAGACCGAATTTTGGTCATAGCGGTCAACTTCAACGGAGCCATCTGTACAGGCCAGAATTATAGTGTACGAGTGTGTGGACAAGCCCAGGTGCACTCTATATTCCTTCACTCTCATTGTCCAATGAGAGGGTAATCCGACACAACCGGAGATAACAAAAGTAGGACTAACGGCTTTCCGAGACATTGGGGAGAGATACTGCCAACTTCCTAATCTCGGGTTAGGAAGTGAACCAAATTATACATCTGTTGTGTATCTGTCCTAAGAATATATTATCAAGTCTTTCCTTGAACCCCCGATGGAATTGTTAAAAACTTATTTGTTAAACTTACTTCAGCTCGAGTAATAGGATATTTAGCAGTGGTAGCACTTGGATTAATTCGCGTTCGTCGGACAATAAGAGTTACGTCCGTAATGCAAATTTTAAACTTTACATCGTTTGACTCAGCAATTAAATTAAAACTCTCTGCTACTGAGAATTTCTCGACGGGAAAACCCATATGATATTGGGCCGATCACTTACGTCGTTTAGAAACGCCTGATTCTCGGTGTTAGCGTTCGTTCGCGTGGTGTGTGGCGGCGAGTGCGGCGCGGGCGCTGCGTGCCGGATGAGCGGCGAGCGCTGCACCAGCCCGCGCGCGCCCTGAGAGAACGGGCCGAACGTGGCCAGCGGCGCGCCCGCCCCGCCCGCACCGCCCGCACTACCTGCCCCCCCGCTACCAGTACTTCGCCCCGCTTCTGGCTTCGCTTGCTTACCTATAATTTTTTTTACTTTCAATACAAGGGCGGAAAACACAGGCCACCTTTTATAACGCGGTAAAGCCATGCTGCAGCATATTATGCTTATAGCGCGAATAGGATGGCTCGACCGGGGGAGGACCACGTCGTAACAGCGTAAAATATCATCAAAGGGTTCCGTATGGCAATTGTAGGGAATCGGAGACCCTTTTGACTGGAAATGAGACGTTCTATTTTAGTCCTCAGGGGTGACAGCGCAACCGAGTTTTGATTCCTAATCGAGGATAAATGTAAATGTCTACGGGCCACAACATGCATTTCTCAACAGGTGAATTGTGTGCTCGTTTGTCACCCTTATTCTATAAAAAACCTATTAACAAGTGGATGCCTCGGCTTATTTATTTTATTACATTAAATAAGTCTAATAACGCGATTGTAATTATAATATTCCCGCTAACCACTCGGAGTAAGGCTAATACTTACGCTTATATTGCCTGTATGCTGTCAAATCTGTTGAAGACTGCAGCTTCATCTCCCGTCTAACAGCCATAAGATTAAGAGGATGATCGAAGCTCGTTATTCATATCGTCCACTTCATAACAGTTTTCTAGGCACTAAGAACGATTTTGTAACTTGACTGAAAATTTTCGGGGCTTTGGATTAGAGCACCAGTGGGACGGAGCATTGACTTCATTGGACGTGACCTCTCCAACTTCACGTTTAGGGTTTGTGTGCCTCTAACCATTCGGTGATCGCCGCCAGTTTTCACCCTTGCGATCACTGAGACATCACTGAACAGTTGTCTGGACGTCATAATGAAGTCAATCTTATTTTCTGTCGAACCGTCGAGTTTCGACCACGCCACTTTCTGTGCGACTGCTGTTGGATGAAAGAGTGCATCATAGTCACTCTTTCTTCATAAAATCGGCCAGCTGCTGGCCCCTTGGATTTCTTGCCCTATTCCTAATTTCTCTACTTTCAGCTCACTGTTATTTCTTGTGCCTTGTTTTGCGTTGAAGTCTCCCATTAACACTGTATACGTATAGTGGGTTTTGAGGGAATGCATGGTTCTAGAGATACCCTCACATATTTCCTCCACCTTATCTGGATGAGCCGAGGTTGGTGCATAAACCCGTATGACCTTCAGCAAATACCGTTTGGTAATACAAGCTACGCAACTCTCGTCAACACACTCCCAATATTTACAACGTTGTTAACGAGAGACTTGTGGACGATAAATCGGACACCTCCTTGGAACAGATGGTCTCCCTCCCGCTGATAGAACAAGTTGCCGGATTCGAGGATTACCGTGTCTTCGGACCCCTATCTTCGGACCTCAGATAATCCTATAATATCCCAGCGCAACTTTTCTATTTCTCTTCCAGCTCCAGGATCTTCTCGTCAGTCCTCAGGGTGCGTGCGTTATATGTTCCCAGGTCGAGTCGTCTTAGGTGGTAGCCGATCCTCCACCTAAGATTCACCACCCCTACCCCACCGTTACCATGGTCGCTACCGTAGCCAGGAATCGCGGGGCCGCCTTCAAATCAGTTCAGTCTTTAGCACAAAACACTACTACTCCTAGATTATACGCTATTATTAGGTACTTGTGTCGCCCTTCCCTACTTGAACAGAAAACGGGGAATGACTATACATTACCTAAGCGGCTACTTTTCTGACTGGGACTAGGGCCTGTTTATATGTGTTGTTGCTCATGGGGGGTATAATGCCATAGTTGCCACGCTTGGCGAATGGGTTGGTAACCGCAGTTTTTTATTGATGTTTGCTGTTATCAGAAAGATGCTGCTGCCCATCTTCTGCTTCAGTTTCCCTCTATCGCCTCTTACGACACCCACGGGACGATATGGGGCTGTGAGTAATCTTAACCGCCGCCACACCACACGGGTCTTATATATATATATATATATATATATATATATATATATATATATATATATATATATTATATATCATGCGGCGAGACTTACGCAACTTTAATACTGCTCATACTAAAGAAGCAATCGAGCGGAACCCGGGCTCCAAAGTCTTTGCCAGAGATCTGTCTGCCAGAAAGAGCCAACTGTCAAAGATGAGGACTGAGTGTGGCAGCATCGTTTCCGGGACACCTGAGATTTTTAGTGAGATTGAGAGGTTCTATGGGCAGCTGTACACGTCATCGTTGGAGCCACATGCAAGTGTGAGTAACGATCCAAGAGCAAGTCTTATCCGACACTATTCCGATGATATCCCGAACGTCAGTCTGAGCGAGATTAGAATGGCTCTCCAGCACCTTAAAAACGGCAGGCGAGGATGGAATTACAGCGTAGCTTCTGAAAACGGGTGGAACACCGGTACTTGAAGTCCTTCTGAAGCTCTTCAATTCCGTCCTCCATGGTGGCACTATTCAGGAGGTGTGGAGCAGAAGTGCGATGATCTTGTTCTTTAAGAAAGGCGACAACGCTCTCTTGAAGAACTACAGACCGATTTCCCTTCTGAGCCGCGTCTATGTGCTGTTTTCGATAGTCATTACGAATCGTCTCGCAAGCAGACTCGACGACTTCCAGCCTCCCGAACAAGCCGGTTTACGAAAAGGCTTCAGTACCATAGACCACATACATACCCTGCGGCAGATTGTACAGAAGACCGAAGAGTACAATCTGCCACTTTGCCTGGCGTATGTGGACTATGAGAAAGCCTTTGATTCCGTCGAAATTTGGGCGGTGCTACAGTCTCTTCAGCGGTGCCAAGTTGACTGTCGGTATATCGAAGTGCTGAAGTGTTTGTACAGTAGGGCTACGATGGCTATCCGAGTACAGAACCAGAGTTAGAAACCTATCCAACTGCAAAGAGGTGTAAGACGGGGGTGACGTTATATCCCCGAAACTCTTCACCGCTGCGTTGGAAGACGTTTTCAACCTACTGGACTGGAAAGGATACGGTATACGGATAGGTCAATGGCGAGTACGTCACTCACCTTCGATTTGCCGACGATATAGTTCTTATGGCAGTATCGCTGGAGGAACTAAGCACTATGCTCAATGACCTCAATGGTGTCTCCCAACGGATAGGTCTTAAGATGAACATGGACAAAACAAAGATCATGTTTAATGTCCATGTCACACCTAGGTAGTTGTTGGGAGCACTATGTGAATGCCTGGGACAAATAGTTCGACTAGGTAAGTCCAACTTCGACCGAGAGGTCAATCGACGGATTCAACTCGGCTGGGCAGCGTTCGGGAAATTACGACATATCTTCTCGTCAGGTATATCTCAATCTCTAAAAACTAGATTGTACAACCAGTGCGTGTTGCCAGTGATGACTTATGGATTTGAGACGTGGTCCTTCACTGCTGGCCGTATGAGGACGCTCAAGGTCGCTCAGCGAGCTATGGAGAGGGCTATGCTGGGAGTTTCTCTGCGTGATAGGCTCAGAAATGAGGTTATCCGCAGTAAAACCAGAGTGACCGACATAGCCCAACGGATTAGTAAGCTGAAGTGGCAATGGGCCGGCCATATAGCTCGAAGAACCGATAACCGATGGGGAAGAAAGGTTCTCGAGTGGCAGCCTCGTACCGGTAGGCGTAGTGTAGGGTGACCCCCCTAGATGGAGTGACGACCTGGTAAGATATGCAGGAAGTCGATGATGGATGCAGGTGGCTCAGGACCGTGCTTTGTGACATTACTTGGAGGAGGCCTATGTTCAGCAGTGGGCTTGTGAAGGGCTGTAATGATGATTATATATATATATATATATATATATATATATATATATATATATATATATATATAATATAAAATATTAACTTTTGTAATCACATGTATATGTAATACGTGGTAGTGGGTGCCTCCTTTTAAAATAAAAAATATTATATTTATAATTATAACATTTAAAATGGATAAAAATGAATACATTTAAGATTTTAATATTTTGAAAGAACTCTTAATGAAAGTGTTTGTTTTGGGCTACATGTACTTATGAAAATGAAATGATTTCTAATATTAACATTTAAAGCGACTTTATAAAGTATGATCTTAAAAGATAAATTCTGAGACTAAATTCTATTTGAGTTTTAATGACTTTAATTATAAGTGACGTCTTTGAGTTTTTCTTTGCTTTAGGAGTGGGCGGTAGGGGACAAGTAAAAATATCTGCTCTACCTGTTTCATCTCCAAATAAATAACAATTCCTACAACATGTTACAAAATAGCAGTCTGTTACTACAGTCTTGGAAGGTAGTTAATTCTCTTTCCATGAACCTATGCGAGATTGGGCAGGGCTTGTGACAATTGTAACAGGGTTCCACAGTGTAACAGTAACATTTTTTATCTTATTCTAACAAAGGTAATTGACATAATATGTATGAATAAAGCAAAGCTTGTGACTGTTGTATAATGAATTTTGTTATCTCGCGAAACAGGAGCTGTTCTTTCAGTTTGTCACAGTGACAGGTTGCTATTTTAAGATACTTCCTTAGGTACTTCTCTTTCTAACTAAGGTGTTCGTTCAACCTACGCAAGAAAAGGAAAAGGCTTGTGATGAGTAACAGGATACCACAGTAACATTTTTTATCTTATTCTTAGAAAGGTAACTGTCGTATGTAAGAATAAAGAAAAACTTGTGACTGTACGTGGAGCTGGTCTTTCATTTTCTTTGTCACAGTTATAATCTGCTATTTTAAAATACCTGTTTTTTATCTGTTACGATAAATACACATCATCATTTTATCGAATCGCAATAATTCCGAAATTGTGTTGTTTTTTTGTCGCAGATATTACGATGCACGTCAATCAAATATATCACTGTCAAAATGACAATTTTCGTATACCTTTGATCTGATCCACCATGTTTAGTTTTATGTTGTGTTGCTCTCCTTGACCAAGTTAATTCTTTAATTTCACTTCGTTTAAATGTACATTGAAACGAACTGAAATTAAAGAAAACTAACAATAACAAACGATTACTATATTATATAGCGATATTTACATATAGTGTACATAGTGCTAGCCTAGGCATCTCCTTTAACACTTAACTTGCAATAAATACTTAGAATTAGAATTTAAATTTATTTATCTTTTTGTATTGGCTGTTGTTCATGGACTACAGTAGTCGTTTACCATTAGTTCAATTGTGACTTTTTTGTTAGCCTATTCATTAAAAAAAACTTACCTTTGGACCCAAAGAAGTCACTGAACATACTGGAGGTAGAGGCAGCTAGCCCATTAAGGTCGGAGCTGATGTTGGAGAAGAAATCGCGATGTGTCGTCGCTAGCAAGTTTGTGGTCTGTAGAGCTGTCGAATCCCTTCTCGCATTTGCTGCACTTGACGCCTCTTGACTTTCAGTCTGTTAACATTAACAATTCAGATACATATTAATTAAAAGACTAGCGAGCCGCCCTGGGTTCGTCTAGGTAAGATCTAATATGTATGAATGTCAACTCTTGGAATTGCTTTCAATGTTCATGAAGTTTCATTAATATACGGGTCAGCCATTCTGACACACAAATACATTCATATCTTTGAATACCGAATGCTCAAGATCGATCGATAGTAATATCCCCTTAATGCGATGCAAATAGACTCCTCAGCTCACAATATAAGGCAGTTATTTCAAATTGCAGACATACACTTTAATTTAATATATATGTTTAGACCATTGATTATAAAATCTGTGAATTAAACTACGTAACTAAAAGGTATTAATAAATAACAAAGGCTTTTTTTTAAATATAATTGAACGTAGTTTAAAAATACTTAAGATTAGGGTATAATTGTTCTAAATAATCCCTTCAATTATTTAATTTTTATTATTTTACTACCGGATAAAGATCTTTTCAAGAATGGGTCAAATAGCGTGCATGCGTACCTACTAGTGTAGTCCCTCATCACGTTGGGCAGGAGGTTTGGTGAGCACATAACTGAATACGAAATATTATATACATAATATGTAGGCACTACGCGACGGGGTAATGAAAACACTTACCGAATACCAGCGTAAAATAACAGTTCAATGCTGCTACTGCTGTAATGCCTAGCGGCATTGTAGGAATGAAATGGGGCATCCATTCATTACGTAAGGCGATTTTTGCGATTTTTTGACCGCACTCTCCCCTTGATGAGATGTCGTGAGATTTTGCTTAACCCCTTCCGCCCTCATATTGCGTGAGATTTTTAGAAATGCCTCCTTTATATAAATAAGTTAATCTGCGCTTGATTGCGTTGGATTTATTTAAAAAAAAAAAACATTGCTTTTGGTTAATTTTGCATTCGCTTAATTTATTTTTTATTAAAGAATACTATTTAAGACTTCTAAGACCGTATTCTATACAGTACAGTGAAAAAATTGAACAATAAAATACTTAAACTAACAAATACTGAAATTCGTAAAAGAATATTCGTTTGGCTAGCCTGTGGCGGCTCAACAATTGAGGGGCTATGAATATTATCATAGGTATATGATTTAGCCATATTTTAGTGGAAATACATTTTTACATAATTTAACAGTTTTTTCGCAATTTTACACAGTTTTTTTTTGGTGGAAAAAATTACGTGATATTTGTCAAGAACGCTCTCTCCCCCACGTGAGATTGGATTAGATTCAGCTCCCCTCCCCTCTAAACGCCTCTCGTAATAACGTACACCCCCAAAAGTCCACTAGGTACACAGGTAAATATACTATAGTATACATAGAATTAAATGAAAAATTATGTATGTTCTTGTATTATAACTAATATTATTTAGCATTACAACCAATAAAAACATACAACGTATTTAACGTAATTACATAATGTTTAGTTTGATTACATCACGTACTGGAAAACTATACAAAGTAACGCCGTGTAGTTGCGGGTTAATAAAACTCACTACCCTATAATTAGACACAGGGAAACCATAAACAGGAAAAAATAATAAAAAGTACTGTTGCCAACCCCTTCCACCAAGCGTGACAGCTGTGGCAAATATTCCCCCATGTGGCAATATACTGTAGTGATGTGATGCTTTAATATCAAAACGATTTGGTAGTTAGAAAATAACTTGTATTCATAGATACGTTAGTTAATACTCTATGATTATTTAATTAATCTATGATTGTAATGGTTAAGAAATGTTACTACCACTTTTACCTTAATTAATAGACCCTTTTTTGCTGCCGCCTCCTTTGCACTCTTCGTGATGTCTCCAAAAGTTGATTTGCTCACATATGTCAGATCTTCTAGAGTATTTTTGCTGGCCGCCGTAGCAGTTTTGCTAGCTTCCAGCGCAGACTTCGACGCCTCTTGTACGCTTTTGGAAGCTTCCTCTGCTGCCTTTTTTGCGTGGTGCGTAAACTGTTGTAAAACATTTTTTACATAATTTGTACTTAAATTTAAAAGGATAAACAAGTTTAAATAAGTGATTCTAGATATTTCTTTCGCTGTGGCTTTTTGCAGTGCGACATTGTGATTTTATGAAGCCTTTTCCCGTTACAATTTTACTGATGTTAACTACAATAAGTCTTGAATATTACGTACAGTGCTCATAAAGTTAAACAAACTAAATTCTTATGAGTCAACTATATTTATGAATATAAGTACTCGCTAATTCTACTGATTTCGATTTAAAATAAAATATTGTTTTGGTATTACTCTATTTAAGACGGAATGCAAATCGAACTACCCTAAATATTTTAAAGCAACTGTACCTGTTTAAAGGATTTTAAGTGAATGAATACCTTTTATTGCTATAAATAAAACAAATGAGTGACGTGTGTGTAAATATTTGAATGTGTTTTAATATTTAATGTTCTAATACTAATTTACTCTGCACTCATGAAGCCATTACGAATATACCTGTTGCAAAGGAGCAAATATTTTCTTATCGTCCACTTGTGCCGCTTTTCCTTTCTTCATTTTAAAATTAAAATAAAATAATGTATTTGTTATAACTGTGTTAAAATATAGATGTTTTAAATTGTAAAAAAAACTGAATTTTAACTTTTCAGTAAATGATGTAAATAAAATAGCATTAATGACTAAATTTACTATAAAATATTTCTATAATAAATAAAATAGTAGCTATAAAATGTAAGACTTCAGTGGGAAAAAGTGAATTGTATTTACTAAAAGACATATAGAGTACCTTATCCATGTGGGCTAATAGGCCCTCTTGGCTGCTTTGTCGTGTCGTTTCCCGAACCAACTCCTTAGCTTGCGCTGCAAATTGCTCTAGCAGTGATGTTTGAGACGCTTGACGAGAAACACCACTGCCGGTATTCTAAATTAAAAATTACATTTAAAAAAAAACTGAAAATATATTAAAAATTTTCGATGACACACTATGCGCTAAGTGCATAGTGTGTCATCGAAAATATGTCATAGTGTGAAAAAAACCGCGTCTATCCAAGTTTGGAATTTTTTTCATGTGCAATTTATGTATGTAAAACCATATAGGAGAAATTCCTTGTAGGGGTAACGTTTCTATTATTTAAAAAAAAAGTTCTAATTAAGTTTAAAGCGATCCCACAGAAAGTGGATCTGGTCGAGCACCGACGGTTCGACAAAAAGTAGATTGACTTCATTATGACGACCAGAAAACAACTGTTCATTGTCACTGTCATGTCTCAGTGATCGCAAGGGTGAAAACTGGCAGCGATCACCGAATGGTCAGAGGCTGAACCTAAACGTGAAGTTGGAGAGATCAGATCTAATGAAGTCAACGCTCCGTCCCCCTCGTGCTCTAATCCAAAGCCCCAAAAATTTCAGTCGAGTTACAAAATCAAAAGTTCTTAGTGCCTAGAAAACTGTAATGAAGTGGACAATATGAATAACAAGCTTCGATCACCCTCTTAATCTTATGGCTGATAGACGGGAGATGAAGCTGCAGTCTCCAACAGATTTGACAGCAAACAGGCAACTGAACAGACAGATCTCCAAATTTATTCTGCTGGAATTAACTGTAACTTTACTTTACAACCCACTCTGTGATCATCTCCTGCCAAGATTGCGGGCGATACTGCACTCGTGGCGGGCGTGAATTTGCACACCACTGTGTGCGCCGGTAACCTTACCTTAACGTGGGCGGCGTGCGAGTGCGAGGGCGGCTGGGAGTAGTGCGAGGGAGTGAGTGCGCGTTCGGAGTCGCTGGTGCTGCCGCTGTCCGCGGCGGCGCGTTGTCTGCTCACTACCGTCTTTGGCGTAGTGGTAGAGTTTGAGTCCGATTCGCGACCGAAACTTCCGCTGTCCGTATCCTTTATAAAACATACAGACTTTGATGATATGAGTACAAAAAATGAGTATGTGTTACATACGGTCGAAGTGAAACTTATCTGTATATATTATAACTGATTTATTAATTTCTGTTCTAGGTACTAATAATATTTTACTTATTAATAAAATATTTATCTCTATATTTCATTAGTATTATTATAAACATTGTATAAATCCGCACATCGGCTTTCTATAAGCCGTAATATATTCCTTTTAAATATATCCATTTTACAATTCCGTCTACTTCAATGACTTATATGAAATGTTAAATTTCTCGCACACTGTAGCACAATATAGAGGTAGGGTTCCGTAATTGTCGGATAAGAGATTTTTCTGATCTTTTTAGAAATTTTGAGTTGTGTCTCACCAGCAACACAAAGTCAGGAATTAGCATTTAGAAAAAGCCAAAAATGGGGCCTCTTTTTTTTCTAAAATTTTGACTGCAACGAACTGTTGAAGTTTGCGTTACTGGCAAAACGTATCGCCAGCAACGCAGCAACGATAATAGTTATATGATTACAAAGGAATTAAATGCTGCAAGTATAGGCAATGACAAGGCACCTCTCATAAAAAAGTCGTTATTCAGAACAAAGCAGATGAAAAAATCACGACTTCTGAAAATCAGAATAGAATCAAAAACAGATGTAGAATTAGTTTGATAATTAAGTACTAATGTATGGAAATATTAAAGCCCCAGCTTCTGAAGCGACGTGGAAATTACTTTATTCTTTTTAGTTCTTTGAATTCAGCTTTTACTTTTTATATTTATATTATATAATTTTTGATCCTTTTGAGTAGAATAAGAAATATCAAAAGCTTGAATATCGTCTAAATAATTACATTGAAAACTCCATACCATATTTACATTAAACATTTCATCCCACCCTTTGGAATTTTTTTTACAAATTTATATGGGCTACCCGGAAAATTATAACCTCCGTAATAAAAAAGTACCAACAAAATTTGACAAGAGAAAACATATATATTCGAATTGAAATCCTGCTCGTTTTTTTAAAGTTTGCTAAAATAGATCAGAGCTACCTTAAGTTGCACCAAAATAAGTTTTTCTTCAAAACTACATGAATTACTTGTGTTTAATTAGACAAAGCATCGAAATAATATAATATAATCAGTTCTTTAAACGAAGTCATGCGAAGGGCTCTTGTCTACATAAACGATCCCTCGGTTTTAGAGCCCTGCGGGATATTTAGAGACGATGGCAAGAGACCCGACGGTATGACTTTGGTCCCTTGGGAGAGAGGTAAAGCCCTAGGGCTTCAGTCAGTCAGTATAATTTCTAGTGTGGGATGCTACTTGCGTTGACACATTGGCGACCTCTCATCTCAAGGGTACCTCTTTTAGAGCCGAGGCGGCATCAGAGGCAGCTGAATTAAGTAAATGACACAAATATGAGTCTTTGAGAAATGGGTACATATTTGTGCCATTTACTGTAGAGACTTTCGGTCTGTGGGGTCCACGTGCAGTGAAGTTCCTAAAGGAACTGTATCCGCGACTGGTCGGCGCTGCTGGTGATAAGAGGGCTGGTTCTTTTCTCGCTCAAAGGCTAAGCGTAGCTATTCAGCGAGGAAACGCAACCAGTGTTCTTGGCACGATACCACGGGGAGCAGGATTTTATGATATTAAAATTTTTTAGTTTTAGTTTTTCTATAATATAGATTTTTATATTGTGTGTATTGAGTATTAATTGTAAGTATTGTAATTATAAATGTTACATATCCAATTGTCAATAAAATTTAGACTTTGAAAAAAAAATACTACCATTCTTTTAAGTTCATTTTATATGTGCTAGGACTCTCTTTCTACCTAGGAGTCCGTCTGGATAGGTCTCCTATTACCTATTTCCTCCGCAAAACAGCATCACTGTAGAGTGTAGAGAGTAATTGCTTGTTATTTTTTTATTAACTGGCTTTACGGCTCTGGGTTCTAGCCCTTCTGAGCCTATCGCTTGTGAGACGTTCTTAGTCCTTAGAGTAACAACTTATCTACAGCCAATAACGTATAAGAATATTTGAAGTAGTTCGCAGGAATGGACACTGCAGTATCCATTTAAAATTAGGAGGACTGAAAGTCCTGTGTTCACTTTAATTTTTTTAAAGTCCAATATCCGGAGTATAGATCTTTCCTAAAATTTACCAGCAGCCAGCTCGTCACTAGTCTGTGAAATTTGGGTGTAGTATTTTGGACGGGTTATTCACTAACAGTTTATTGTCAAAGCTTCATCCTTCAAAAATAAAATATCGTGTAATGTGAAATATTCTCTTTATAAATTAGGGCTATACACCACATACAAATAAAAAAAATTAGTGCATCAGCAGCCATATGTTACTTGGAAGATTGGCCCATACTGACCACTCTAGAAGACAGGTTGGTAAGCGCGAAATTGACAAGGACCTTCATTTACTAACTGTTACTACTTAAATTAAACTTTATATTCTCGGTTAAACAGAAATAATGCTCACGCTTTTCTTCGCGGGTGGTGGATGAGAGTCTGTAGTTTTCTGTCTCTCGTCCACTGGCATTTCTTCATCAGACATTTCACTATGGTCAGAACTTGAAGCCGATGGGGAGGGTGACGTGGAAGTGCGACCTTCATCCTTGCACTCATCTTCATCGCCGTACATGAGCGAAGATGGAGGGCTATATACCTAATATCGATAAGTCACATTTAAAACAAGAACGAAATTTCAATTATAAAGCCGCCTGCAAAAGCTGTGCTTCTGAAATGCAAAGAAAGAAAAATTTATTGTTTTAAAGAACATCCAATTTTGTTGAATATTTGCGTAGGGTATTGAATAAAGCTACAACTAAAACTTAAAAGCTTTTGCGTTTCGAAGGAATTTTTCATCATCAGCACGTGCATGTAAAGTTGGTGACACTCTGAGAAAAAGTCAACTTACTTCTCTTTACGGGAGTATTTCCATTAATAATGTTTAGTTTTGTAGATAATATATTATCAAAAAATCATATAGTTTATGGACAAGTACTTACCGTTTTGGGATCTAGTGATGAAGACAGTGTCATCCGCACTTGGACTACAGCGTTATAGGTCTCCCCTATAACGTGTTGCTGATGAGGATTTCCGCCTATAAAAAGATATTATGATTTGGTAATTAGATAACTCCACTGAAGCGTGTTTACTGTGAATTATTAAGCAAATAACTTAATAATATGGCCATACAAATACATTTGAATTCGTTCGTGAGATTTTTAGATTTTACGGAAATTTAATCAGAAGCAGAAGAAAAATGCAACAGAATAAGACTGTCTCTTGTATATCTTTGGTGGTGGTAAAGTGTGTTGTATTTTTAAAATAATTTTTTAAATCTCTTTTTAATATTGTTTATTAGTATAGGTACTTAAGTATTAGTTTTTAATTATAAGGGAAGAAATTTAACATCATATTTTTTTTTCAAAAGCATAAATACTGATTTATACAATCATATTTTAAATTGATAAATTTCAAAATCCCGTTCAGATATATTTAGGTATTTATATTATATTATACCGTGTCGTGGCGGTATAAAATCATTCACTATCCTATATCATTCCGTGAGTGTCGTAATCAGGAGATCTTCAACTCTTCAAGATTGCCAGCTCACTTGCCAAGTGCGGCAACTATGGCAAATGTACCACTATGAGGCTATTTATGGGGGAGGCAGTGGACTTTAATAGGCTTTAACAGTAACGGTAACCTACTAATATTTCTATTACCTGGTGATAAATCCGATGAAGCCATCTCGGAGACAAAGTCACTTAGAGAGGAATAGGAGGAACTTGTACTCTCAGCAGCGTCTGAATCTGATCCACTTTCGTCTGTAAACCGATTATACGTTATGTGAATATGAGTTAAGCAGGAATTAGGACATAGGGATTAAAGAAGGAATATCATTTCAAATTGTGTGTTTACTTTGCTTTTGGAAATAAATGAATGGTGTAATTTTTATTAAATTACCCGCCGGCTTCCAAACACATTATAAGCCTTATAAAACATGCAAATTACATATAAGTAAAAAACTTATTTACCTACCTCCAAGTTTTTAGGAAAATATTTTTGGAATTTTATTTTATAATCTAAAAGTGATTTAATTTGTAATTAAATTGAACTCAATTTAATTGAAATAAATGAAGTAGTTGCAGTCAAATATCTATAAATGTAATAGATTTAATAATTTAATTTGATGTTTTTATTTTATTGCATTCAAAATATGAGTATTTTACCAGTTGGTTGGTTTTCATGCCGTTGGAGTTGTCTCAAAGCACCGTTCAGAGAACTTCCATCATCCCACACAGCAAAACGGATGGGTTGTAATTGATCTGCGAACCATTTGGGCTTATCACCTATTTGCCGTGGATCAAATACACCAGTCTGTACTCGGAGAAACGCTACGTTGCATGGCGTCAACGACCATTCCGCTAAGAATTCCACTGCCTGGTCAAATCAGATAAAATATTCATTGTGTGATAAAAAAGGTAATAAAAATAATATATATCTATTTTGACGTACTTGAGTTCTTGCAAATTTGTTTAAAAAGGAACTGGTTCTTGGCCGCGATCTCAAGAAGCTGTTGATTTGAAAGGCGACAACCGGCCGTGGGTATAATCGCAAAGTCCTTGTGTGTTCCATAAAATTGGCCAAAACATTTTGCGAGTTGAAAAATCGAACCTGCAATAGTTATTCTGCATTAGATGACATACAAACATTACAAAACATAACACATATTAATAATATTTACAAAACAGATCAGAGAATACACTCTGCTGATTAATGGACGATATCCATCCAAAAATTCTGAATGCCTTACAAATAGTGATGTAGAATAGGTAATAAATAGGTAATGCTGCTTTCCATCACCGGTGTAAGAGTATCGGCTCTAGACTCATCGACCAACCGTACTTCTGACACATTTTGAATTCCGACTTTATCTTACATTTTATTTTCAATCCTTTGCGACCAGCTGTACTCCTGACACATTTTGAATTCCAGAATTTATCTTACATTTTATTTTCTATTAAATTAATTTGAATTTGGGAAAATCGTAACATAAAGATGAATGTTACGACACTAAGATATAATTCTACATTGTAGAATTATACAAACGAATAATAGATATAATTCTACATTGTAGAATTATATCTATTATTCGTTTGTTACAGCTATATTCTACTTTCCGGTGTGCAAACTAATTAAATACAAATTATTTTTTAATACTTAGAATGGAAATTTCTGATAATTACATTAACATAAAATAATCTTATTTGTATTACTAACATATTAATAATTCAGCACATAATAATAAAATAACTGTAATAATTAAATTATAATGTCTTAAAATTAAATAATATTACGCAGTAGTATAATAAGTCTATGAATAACATAGATAAAGTTTTGTGGTTCTATTGAATAAATTTTATAGTTTAAATTTAAAAATTGTCAAACAAATATTCATCAATATTATAATACGTCTATTTGGTTAAAAATGTTTACTTGATTCTTAAGAATATTATTGATAATTAAGAATATCATCACGATGTTTAGGTGACCCTTTGACACCATACTCCTAACTCTTCTTCTTTGTCCAACCCTCTTCCCAGTTTAACTGGGGTCGGGTCTCTTTGTACGATTGCGTCAGAGAGGTCTACTCTGGCTTGTCGGTGTACTCAGGTTTTCTCTCAGGATCTCTTTCTGCATGTTTGACCACCAGCTGGCACGTGGTCGTCCTCTTCCTCGCGGACGGTCAGGAATATTCAATGCTATACGTATTGGATGGTCATTATTTCGCCTAAAGATATGGCCGTACCAACGCATTGGGCTTTCTTTTGTTTTCGGGGCTACCTTAAATGATCCTCTGATGTATTAATTTCGTACTCTGTCTAGTCGGGTCACACCTCCTGCCTATCTAAGCATTCTCATTTCATTAGCGTGCATTTGATGTTCGTGTGCCTTTTTTATGGTCCAGCACTCTGCTCCGTACGTCATGGCAGGTCTTATTACCGTTTTGTATATTTTCTCTTTCACTCTGATGTGCATGTTGCGGTCACAGAGTACTCCCGACAACGATCTCCACTATACTCTGACACTATACTCCTAACATGACAATATTTATGTAACTTACGAAATAAAGATCTAAAGAAGTATACCATAGCTACTCGAGTGGCGATGTCAACGGAGTCAACGTCGTGGCCGTATATAAGGGGGTTGAAGGTCTGCTGCGGCGTGTGAGGCGTGTGAGGTGTGTGAGGCGAGTGCGGCGAGGCCAGCGAGTGGCGCTGCGGCGTGTGGCCCGCGCTGCCCACCGACACGCGCCGGCTCTCCGGCGTGCTGTGCGCCGTGCTCTGCGGAGCGCTGTGCGATCCGCTCTCTCGGTACAACGGTTGCTGGACTCTAAGGTAAAACACCTTGAATTTTACCGACTTACTACATGGCTCTTCAGATACCCATTACCCAAGGGCTCATATCAGCCCGTGGGCAATCGTATACCTTTAAACGAGCAATACACATATAATAAGGATAATAATAAACAAATAAAAATAAGGAATGTCGGAAACGGGTCCGACGATTTTCATAAAATTTAGTGTCCAGGGAGTTTCGGGGTCAATAAATCCATCTGGCTAGGATTTATTTTTAGAAAATGTCTTTTTGTCCGTGTTTTCAGGTAATGAAAAACTCTTACAATATAAGAAGGTAAATTTTGACACATTGTTAATGATCGTAATAGCTCAAGTGGATATCGAGCGGTCGTGAAATCTTAATGCCTTGGTTCGTGTCCTGTCTTCGGTCCGAATTTTTTTTTCAAGTTCCCTTCTTTTGTGAGAAAATTTATTATTTCAAGCCCTATTTTTACTTTTTTTTTAAATATGAATATTTTAATTAAACTAATTGCACTCATGATTTTTTATTTAAATAACCAGTTCAGCTTTTTCTATTATGACAATAAGATCAAAAAACATTATTCATCAGTATGTAATTTGTATCTAAATGTAATTTCAAAAAAAAACCGAGCAAAGCTCTGTCATCCGGGTACTGGGTATCTAAAGATGCGACAGAGGGCAATAAAACAGATGGTCAGCAGCATCTTCCAACTATAAGCTAAAATAATTAAAACTGGGGTTGCCATTTGGTTATTCCTGTTTTTAGTTGTCTGGGCGAAGCCCATCTGCCTAGTGTGACAACTATGGCAAATATGCCTCCTATGTGCAATATTTGGAGAGGCCTATCTATAGCAGTGTACTTACTTACTTACGATTTAGAATAAAAATAGTTGTCACCCTAAAATAGAATGCCTCGTTACCAGTGCAAAGGGTCTTCGACTCTCGTTACCATACGAAACACATGAGCTTCAAGCTGCTATTACGATGGTATTCAGTAAGAGCGTGCTTCCTCCCCAGTCGAGCCGATCCATTCGTAGTGCAGCCGTAATACGTTGTAGCGTAAAATAAAAATGGTTGTGTTTGAAAACCAAATATAAAATATTCTACTAACAAGCATATAAAAATTATGGTTCTGCGAGTTGACAGTCTACATTCTTTGTCTTTATATGCGGTGTAAGCCGCAGGTGCCATAAATATATATTTTATCATGTAGATTATCATTTGTTTCTTACTTGAGGGTAGCTCCGCCAACACTGTCCCTCCTTGAAGGCATTATAGGCGCCGTCGCTTGCTCTACTGAACTGTTCGTCAGACTGTTCAGAGCCTGACGAAAACAAAAATAAATAGTAATTGTAATTAAAACATTGGTATATAAGTTATATAAGTCTTAAACACTGCTTAAAATTACAATAAACGTAAACTTGTTTACAAATATCTTATTTACGTTGTGTTATTATAGTATAATAATTTATCAAAAATTTCGTGGAAGTTAGCGTCTATCTAGCATGAAATTTCAAGCATTAAATTCTAATAATATAGACATAGAAAATATATTAAAAATATACAATTCAATAAGATATAGAAATAGCAGTCAAATATAATATACGTACTCGTATATGTTAGTGTACGTATACGTTAACCAAAAATATATAAATTACGTGGTTAGTCAGAACATAAGCTACGTTCCGGTCATAGAAAGGTTTATTTCTATTACTTGTATTTGGAAAAAGCTTTAAGTTCTCACACAAGTGCTTAGCTAAGCGGATTGAAAACATGCTGAAAGAAATATATTTAAGTACGCTGACTGAAATTGTGTTAAAATAAGCATTAAGAACACATCAAATGAATGTATTATGAGCGAGTAGCAGATAATATAAGGCAAGGAAAGATAATATGATCATGGGAATGTGTAATGTTTGTAACACTGATTTCAGTCGGAAAAATATTTTAATATGCCTTCCCTCTTAGACAACGTGTTTATGCCAATGTGAATAAATATTTATGAAATAAAAATTTTGTTTTAAAACATCATTATTGTGTGTGTTTCTAAAAGGTCAGCACATTTGTGTTCTAAGATAGCTAAAATTATGAAAATGTGACATAACAATCAAAGTGTGCAATGTAAGAAATAGAAATAATATTTACACCAGTTCCGGTAATTTCCATGAGATGCACGGCCTATTGTGAGAGGAAAAGTGAACTAGTGGTTAGTAGATTCAGTATTTAGAAAACTATCTAGATTTTCTCTGTAATAGTGAATACAGTAATAAATATAAGTGATAAAAATATTATGCAGACAGTGTATAACAGTAAGTATAAATTATTCGAAGAAAAAATTGTCTGAATTTTCTATGAATATCAAAATAAACATTGATATAATGAGGTATAGTTAAAGCGGATATTTTTTAAGGTCTTAATATACTCACGATTTGAATCTTAGAAAAACTAAAATGTGAATGCTTTGGGACAGTAACAGCATAGCGACATGGACAATGCGCTAACAAGTGCGTGTGTTAAAAGAAGAAAATTGTGATAATTGATATTTAGAAAAGAGACAACTATTCGTCTTCCTTCAGTCTTATTACTAACCTGTTTTAAATGATTCTTAAGAACTGAGCTTTCCGGTTCCGGTAGTGGAGGCAGATCTTGATCACTGCCGGTCGGGCATATTAACTTTGTTGCGTCCAAGTCTACCAGCCAAATGTCATCTGGTAATCTAGAATTAATTTACAATAATTTTCAATATTTCTCTTTGCGTTCACTCTGATTAGGTTTACTTAAAATGATTGATTAAACACATTTATTTTTCCAATTTGAAAGTTACTATAAAGCTGAATAGGAAAATTCTCTGAAGCCCAAATAAAAAAACGCATGTGATTGGCATGCAGACACCAAGGTGATTCCATAAGTACTCCGTTATCCTATCCTATACCTTTAAACGAGTAATTCTTGTATATAATCGGGATCTCGGAAACGGCTCCAACGATTTTCATAAAATTTAGTGTCCAGGGAGTTTCGGGGCAATAAATCCATCTGGCTAGGATTTATTTTTAGAAAATGTCTTTTTGTCCGTGTTTTCAGGCAATGAAAAACTGCTACAATATAAGAAGGTAAATTTTGACACTGTGTTAATGATCGCAATAGCTCAAGTGGATATCGAGCGGTCGTGAAATCGTAATGCCCTGGTTCGCGTCCTGTCTTCGGTCCGAATTTTTTCCTTTTTTTTTCAAGTTCCCTTCTTTTGTGAGAAAATCTATTATTTCGAGCCCTTTTTTTTAGTATTTTTTTAAAAATACGAAAATTTTAATTAAACTAATTGCACTTAAGATTTTTTATTCAAATAACCAGTTCAGTTTTTTCTATTATGTCAATAAGATCAAAAACTATTATTCATGTAATTTGTATATAAATGTAACTTAAAAAAACCGAGCAAAGCTCGGTCATCCGGGTACTGTTAATTAAACATGGAACACTAAAAATAAGTGTCTCACATATTAGGAAAAAATGTCGATTGAATACTATTTCATGTAGTGGCGGTGTAAGATATGAGGTATAAGATGAATATCCACTACCCTATATCATTCCGTGTGTGTCGTAAGAGGCGACAGAGGGAAACAAATCAGGAGATGAGCAGCAGCATCTTCCTAATAATGACTAGAAGCGTGGCAACTATGGCAAATATCCCCCATAGATTACCTTCCCCCATAGATTGTTCAGCAGTGGACTTTAATAGGCTGTAACGGTAGCGGTAACGGAATGTTTACGGGTGAAAATTAATGCCACTAATCTGTTCTTTTTCAATAAATAATCACATATACATAAAAGTTTTTGTTATATGTCCAACAATGATATTGATTAATCCATCGTTACTAAAATAGCAAAAGCACAAAATAATTGTTTCATGTCAATTTGTGCCTTTTATTCCCCTACGAGACAATCTATGTGGGAGGCTGTTTTCCGGAGTGAAATTTTAATAGGTTTTAATGGATGGAATGGATGTCTCTTTTTGTTGTGTTCCTTCAAAGTGTACATGGAAATTAGATTAAATTAACGTAGTGCTTTATAAGGTAAGGGCAAAATTCAAGGTAATGTTTGCTTCATTTTGAACTTAAAAATGTCCATCAATTTATTGAATATATAAATTAAATTTATGTATTAACAGATTAATAGAAAAATATATAAGAATGGTGAAGTGACTTACCTGAAGTTTTTCTTGTAAGTGAAGAAAGTGGCCGGAATTCCAATTAAAAATGGCGTTGGAGCCAAAAGAAGCTGTTCCGCGCAATTCATACAGCTTGGTAGTAATGGTATTGCCGGAAACATGTACTCGAGGGGATACAGCATGGCGACCAGCGCCATTACCGACATCGACAGGGCATTGTAATCACGAGACTGTACTACTACTTTATTTTCCATCATAATCAACGTCAGTACTTTCAGACATGTGTCCACACCTTAAAACATTTAATATTTCATTGAAATTGTTTGGAAAATTCAAATTTATAAAAAAAGAAAACAATGTTCGTGACTCCCGCTATACTCATTTTTCCTACACCATAAAATTAATTGGTCTTGGATAAATTCCTTTATTACTGACTGAACTATTTTCTTGATCACTATGTTAAACTGCATAAGTGTTATTTCTATTTATAGAGATCATTTTGAAGCTAGGCTTCAATGTTGGCTTAAAGATTGCTAACCGACGTTGGTTAGAAACCTGCTATGTCAGCACAGAAATTTCAGAACTTTAAAAAGTTTCATTACCTAGTAATTCCAAAGGCAAATGGAGCGGGAAGTCCACTAACGTGAACCTTGTGTGATCGGGTAGCGCGAACAGGAGAGGCGCATGAGCGGTCGGCGAGAGAACCTCCAGCTCGACGCGAGTCTTGCCTGGCACCGGCACGGGGGCCGACAGCAATCTCAGTATCCACGTCTCAATTTCCTTTACGTCGTGGAGAACTATCGTAGGCGTATTGTCGTAGGATTGCCCAGTTAATACAGACCACACCGTATCCCTGCACATGGAAAATTATTTTTATACGCGTTGTTCCATTGATGTATCATAATACTTAGATATAATGATGGTATAATAAATTCTTCTCTAAATGCCAAACTTACCACACAATAAAACTCTCAAATTATCGAACGTATCTCTGGCGACCGATAACTAGCGATATAATATTAATTCGAAAAATCCAAAGTTAATAACATAGACTAACGTCAGATAGCTAACAAAAACTGAAATGTAAGGCGAAATCATGATATAGGAAAATCGTTCGCAGCAGCAGATAGATCAATACTGAAAGTATAAATTAAATCTAAGGCCCTACTTGAAATAAGGTATTTTTATTGTTAAAATCTAACTGTGTAAAATTACAAACTAAATACATCCAATTGTTGAGCACAGGTCTCCTCTTATTTCTGAGAAGGGTTTTGGAGCTTTGGAGCAATAAGTCTGCCACGCTGCGTCAGCGCGTGTTAGCGGATTTAACCGGTCCTTGAAATATTTTACTCACCAGAAGTGATTGTTTTTTGCGATTCCTTTAGCTGTGTTCACGTGATAATTCAGTATATACATACTTAAAATTGCAATTTATTAGTTGATTGAACACGGATTGCCCGTACATGGAGTACAAGGCTACCTGAGCTAAATTAAAGTTTAAAATTATTATAAAAATTAAATAAACATTACAATGAAGTGTATTTTGCTAAATCTTAACTTAATATCCAACCTTTGTGATTGTAATCCTTTATTCACAAAAACAGTGTTAAGTTATTATATAAAAAAAAATAGTTTTCACATACCTAAATATTTGTCTGGACGCGCCAACACGTCGTGGACTGGAAGACTCGTTGCAGGCATCTATTAACTTTTTAAGGATAAATAGGCACTCTCGGAACGTGGAAAAGAATGGATGATGTGATAATAGGCACAGGGATGTGAGTGAGTGGTTCCGTATACGCTGCAAAAGTAGTAAACAACTTATAAGTCACATTGCATGATTATATAAAAACTTAAATTAAAAAATTTAAGAACATCATTTCTTGAATCATAGCTAAGAACGCTCTCGAGTCTCGATCAAGTCATCCTTAACACAAAAAAAACTAAATCTAAATCGGTTCATCTGCAGAGCAACGATGCCACAGACAGACATATCATGAGTACACACATATAACATCCCTCTTTTTCGTCGGGGGTTAAAAGAAGTCTGTAAAGAGTGGGAGGCATAGTAGCATGTGCGTACGCTACTCTCGTGCAGGTTCGATCCCGTTCACCTGACATATGGTGATGAGATCGGTGAAGGGGTAAGACAGTAACATTCAAATTTCCGGTGAATTATGCTATATTTTTGAAAGCTAGCAATATGGTACAAGACGCCATTTTATTCTGCCCTGACCCCGAGTTTCAGTCAGTCATTCCGAAAAGTAGGGCGTGTGCTGCGCAGTATTTTATAAAACAAGGTAATTTTTATATTTTTTTCGTCCGTCCGGTCTTTCCCTATCACTTTTATTTGCGATTTTTAGCGACGTCCGGTCTTACCGCTTGATGGCCAATTCTTCATCATACTTACATATAAAAAATTATGCCTTGTCTGCGCACAAGTTTTAAGCAGAAACTTGTTGAGTTTTGAAAAGTAAATGCTTCTTATAGCTAAATTGTGTGTAACCATTAACGATTTGCGCCATGTTTCAGAAATCTGACGTATATGGATGTCGAGAAAATAAAGTTTTTGCCCGCTCTTTTAACTAGTCGAAAATCGTCCGGTATTACCTCAACGCACTATAATTTATTTACTTATACTTTATTCGAAAATTATCGATATCAATTATTATTAAAAGGCAGCTTAAAACATTGGTTTAAAGTTGATAGAGACAGTTCTACTTGTCCATTTACCTATTATGATGATCTGTAAGGAAACCTAGAATACATAAAAGGCGAGTTTAGCGTGTTTTATGTTAGGTCAGATTTAACAGTGAACTCGTGATCGGATGATGATTTTAAAAACAGAAGATATTTTAAGCAAAGAAATAAATACTGATTATTTATTTAGAGTCTTCATCGATGCTGTTGACAAATGTAAATCGAAATATCGAGATATTATCATCAGCGACGATAGAAGTTCCAAAAAAACAGATGTAGCTTTTGAGACATGTTTTCTTCCCGCCACCTATTCTAATAATCCCATGGGATAAAGCCAAAAATAGTTTGGACTCGTTCCTGTGAAATGAGAAGCACGTAATTCCAGTTAGCCTTTCAGTGGTTTAGTGTAAGGCGATCTTAACGTGGAACCTACCTCCGGACTCATTTGTGAGTAGCGGCGAGCGGGTGAATGCGCGGGATCAAGTGCAATAATTTCAACAAAATGAGAAGAAGAATCAAACGGGTACCTGTCGTTTTCGACTAGCCCGTGGACTAGGTGAATGTGAGCCTCCGCTCTCGGAGTCCGGCGCGGGCGCCAGCCGAGGAGCCAGCGTGGCGCTGCAATCACGTTCCGAGTCACTGGGCGCTACGTTGCTGCTCCTATAGTCACTGAAACATTCGCTATGTTTTAGTTACACAGATGACCCGCGGTAATCCGACAAAGTTTTGCAAGGCGGCGTCGGATTATCAAATTTGTCGGACTATGTATATAAGCCGACTAATTACATATCAAAGTGGTAAGGTTACATAAGTACTATAAATCACACGATGTGATTGCTTTTTTTAGATTAACACTGATTTGTTTAGCTTTGTTAGAATTGGGACAATATCTGGCGATAAGTTTTTCCATGCGGATGTAATGGTTGATCTCGCAATGCATTCCAGGATTGATAAAGAGCAAAAACCAAGTCTGTACCTATATGATAAATGCATGTTGGATTACAAGGGGGTCCGATTAAACAGAGTCCACTGTAATTGCACAAAATATTTATGTTATTCTAATACGAACTTACACCTCGACGTCAATGGCCACGTAAGAGAATCCACTACCTCATATCATTCCATGGGTGACGTAAGAAGGGACAGAGGGAAACTGAAACGTGGTATAGGCAGTAGCATCTTTATAATAACAATTTAAAAATAGTGGTAAGAGTGCCTGCTTTGGCAAATATACCTCCCATATGGCAATCTACGGATGAGATGTATGTTCAGAAGGCAGAAGCGGATTTTTACAAATTGTCATGATGATGATGATAAATCATACATATTCTCCTTCTCATCTTTAGCTCGAACACTGTTGAACACGGACCATTATAAGGAAGACCTGCTTTAATTGCCAAGCTTGGAAGGAGATTAGGAGTATCAACAACATGTTTCGCACCTTTAAAGGTGCTCGCTCCCAGTCACCAAGTTGAGTATATATATATTTTATATCTATTCTATACGAGATAGCTAATACGGCATCCATCGGAAATCAAAATATCTTCCAGGCATTACTCTAAGTCGTCTCTTATGACAACCACGAGGCGAGATGGGGCAATGGATAGACGGCGAACGGAGGCATACGAAAGGCTTCAATTTATTTATTACCACGAGGATAAGGAATGGGTGGTCACCTCGAGAAGGCGGAATCGGAACTCTTCTCCATAGACTTGCGCCAGGACTCGCGGCGAAGCACGCTGCGATCTCGCGGGCCCGGCGCTGGCGCCCGTTCTACCGCGCGGTAGAAATTGACACATACTCCATAACGCGTCTTACCTGTTAACCAAACAACGGTTTTATGCTGGATTACCTCTCTCACAATTTAGAAAATTTTCGTTTAATTAATTAATAATTTAAATTTTCGTTTTAATTAATCAGTATATATAAAATTTAGGTTTAAAAATTCAGAAACGATTAAAAATATTAAGAAAGGAATGCTACAGTGGTTTTTAGACACGGTAAAATAATGAATGAGGTATGTTGCAAAAGTGAGTGGTAGAGTCGTCAGGAGACGCCCTAAGGGTAGTTAATCAACAATGGCCGATAGATATTGAAAGTTATTTTAAGAGGCATGTAGACGTTGAAATATGGATGTAAAAAAAGGAAGAAAGATGTGTATGAACTGTCCCAAATTGGAGTCTCTGCTCTCCCCTCCTGGATGTCAGGAGCAAGATGTGTAAGCAGAGACTACGGTGCATTATATAGTATATTATCTATGTAAAATAGATGAACCTTCATTCGGTACGATCCTGTCACAGCTCTCTCGCTTCTTTGGCTTATTCCCCCCATTGCCAGGAATTCACGTTCATATATTAGGTATAAGTCTGTAAATCTTTCCCTTTTTAAATAAAAAAAAAATATGATTCTTCTATTGTTATTTATTTTACATAGGTAGGGTAAATGATAGTAAAGTTACTCCTTAATCATTCAGGCCCGGTGGTGAAACGATACAAGAAAACGTGACGTTTTTATGTTATAATACCGTTCTAAACTTCTTTACTACATCAATATAGAAGTTTTACTTCAATAATTCCATACATTATATATATATATATATATATATATATATATGTATACAGTATAAACATAAGCTATACAGCTTTACCGTATACCGATGCCATCAATATGCCTAATAATTATGTCTTACATCATAATGCTGTGATGCATGCATTGAACCGCACTCCCCGTAGTTGTTTTGTTAGTATACTTTAAATTTTAATAAGTTAAAGTACCTATTGTCTTCTTTCAGTTTAAAATTTAGTTTTATTTAATTAAATATAGTTATTCGTTCGTTTATATAATATAAATGAATAAATATAACTTGTACATAACCTGAACTTAGAACTGAACTAAATGGAGTCGTGTGGGTCTAATGGCCTAGTCTTTTTTTAGTATATGGTAGTAAGCTTCCCATAGATCATAGACACGAGACATAGACACGACGAAATCCAATCAGTGATTATTTGAACTTAACTATCCTGAAAAATAAAATTAAATACCACACAGCTCGTAATCATACGAAACAGTCTCCAAAACTAGATGACATACCAGAGTCCTTATCAGTAAGAGTGAAGACAAAGGATGCGGTGTCTCTTGTAGCGATTTGAGAAATTTGTCGACGGGGCCCCACCGATACGCAGCCCTCGGGCTGACAGAAGTACACCATGTCCAGCGGAAGGGGGAAGTCATCGTGGTTCGTTAAAGGATAGCGTCTGAGAAGTTCCGGAGCCTGTGAAATATTATAAAAAGACAACACGGACTATTTTATTTACGGACAGTTAATGAACATGGACCTCGTCTGCATGCGTGAGGATTTTGGCAAGCGATCACAATTCCAGAAATCTCGCACTTTTAACGCCCTTTACCGTTACGTTAATTTAAGATCTGGTAGATACGTACTAATTCTAATATGGACTAATACCAAACGCTTAATTTCACCATCGCACATCTCGATAAAACGCGTGATACCATCCATTTGCGATTTACTGGACACAACTTACTTGTGGAATCTACCACTACCTGTGATTTTTCTGGATCGATACGACTTAGGGACCTTTAAGAAAAGAGCATACTCTTTGTAAAAAGTCAGCAACGCATATGAAATTCCCCTGGATTTGCAGTTGCTCATGGGCGGTGGTAGTCATTACCATCAGGTGGGGCGCAAGCCCGTTTACCACCTCTTTTATAAAAAAGACCTCCGATTTCTGTCGTGGTGAGGTAAGTAAGGTATGTTAGTGTATTTTTTTCCTTAAGAGGTCACAGAATCGTTCAGACAATTACCACTCTTTAGATTTTTATAACTCTTTAGATATTTATAACACTGTTCTCGGTACTCGGTATAATAATAAACATTATATTGAAATATTCTTTCTTGTCTATACGCCCAAATTTGCAGAGAATGTTCAGAATAAGTAATATGGGTTAATGATGGAGAAGACATAATTAAAAAATCTCAAAAATTCTGTCCCTTTTATCTTTTAAATTCAGAATGAGTGGTAATGCATTATTTTAACCAATTGTCATTCATAAATATCCAACGCCTACTATTTAACTACGCACGCACACATTCGTAAGGATCGCTCGGTCGACAAGAACGTAATTGTGAATTGAATCTCACGCACAGGAGCGCGAGTACGCGTAGTGCCCATAAATCACATTCAATTTGGGATAATTTCAAATTTTTATTAGTACATAAAACTGCATTTGCAGAAGCCTTATGCACTCGTAGTTTCAAAAACTGCATTAACCAGATATCATTATTTATATATTTGAACTTAATTATAACATTTGGATACTCTTATGGGTCTCTAGATGGCTTAGATTCACATTAGGACCCGGTAGGTGGCACTGTTATCGAGATCTAGAAATCACCCGTGCGAAGCCGGGACGGATCGTATGATTGAATCTAATATTTTTTTAGTATATAAATAATAAAACACGATTGGTTTGTAAGTTTTAAAAAGTAAAACGCTGTGTTCTTTATATGAAAATAATTGTCCATTAGAAATCTGATATTATCGTCTTAAATCTAAATGTCACGATGACAATCAAGCATTATAAAAAGGCTACAACTGTTTTGAACTTTTGGTTGAACTGCTTCATTGGCTAAGTGGTTGTAGTAGTGCGACTGCTGATAATGAGATTCTGGGTTCGAATCCCAGGTCGGACCAAAGTATCGATTATTCAGTTTTCCGTCAAAAAATTCTCAATAGTTGTCCGGAGTTAAGAAGTTGGCGGTGTCTCACCCCCGCGCTTCGGAAAGTACGTAAAGCCGTTGGTCCTGCGCCTGATCTCTCTCCGGTCGTGTCGGTTTACTGTCCCATCGGATTATGAGAGTGAGGGAGTAGACAGTGCACCTGTGCTTGCGTATACACTTGGGCACTATAATCCTGTCCTGCGCCGATGGCTAGTCTCCGTTGAGGCAGGCCGCCGTGACCGAAATTCGGTCGGGAGGACATTATATTATTATAAAAAGGCTATAAAATACATATTTTTAAATATAATATTTCCAATACAAGAGATCATAACAATATACCTGAACAGGTGCGAGCCCCTTGCCAGAAGTATAAGGTTTGGCGCCTACTATAGTCAGATAATCCACCAGCCGCGGACACAGCTGCTGCTTCTGAACGTCCATACTCTTGATATACTTAAAATTATGTTATCTAAGTTACTAAACATGAGCTTGCTTGAACCCATTATAATTAAATTTATTATTGCTTGTCATAATTATCACCTTTAGATGTACATACCTGCAAAAATAAAGACTTCAATAAGTTAAGAAATTAAGTAAGCATCACTTGCGATCTTTCAAGTGAATTAAAAAAATCTATTAATTAAAATAATTTAAAAAATAAGCGTTTATAGCCGTTGCTATTGCTAGCCAGTATCCGAGTATATCATCAGATCAACTCTACAGTACAGTATGTTTGCACTGGCGTCGATGTCACATAATTACGTATTCCGAATTTTAACTCGGTCGGAAAAATGTTAATTAATAAAAAGCTTCTAATAACTGCATGAAACTAATTTTACGGATTTTACTGTGTGAATTTTTTGGTAAACCTATAGACATCCGGTTCGTGGATGGGGGGAGGAGGTGGGTGCAGGAGAAACCTCCCCTTACCTTACGGGGGAAGCCCTTGCGGAAATGTAAAGTTTATGAGTAATGATTTTTTGTAAAATCATAACCTTACTTTTTACACAGGAATATTGACCCAAAATTACTACTTCAATGGCTTGGGCGCTGCGGAATGTGCAGCCCAGTGTTAAAAAAAAAGAAATTGACATACTTTCGTTTCGTTGTATGGAATTTTTAGTGAAATTTATTTTTTATCGTTATTAATTCAAAAGGCATTTTCGAAATCCAAATCCAATGTAAAAGATACAAGCTTAAACCTGACAAACCTCCTAAATTGAAAACGAAATTTAAAATCAAATAGCGGTCGTTGCTTCATAATATTAGACCAAAGTGATATATTTGCGTTTCCTTACAAGTAATTTTTAGTGAAAATTATTTTTATCGAAATTAATTCAAAACGCATTTCCGAACTCCAAAAACAGTGTAATAAGTTCAAGCTTAACCCTAACCTTAGAGCATACAGCATACAGCATATAGCATCGGTGCTCTAAGGTTTAGGTAGAGTCTGTCTCTCTCGCACATGCTTCTGATTGGCTGGCGTGTTTTCCACCGTTGCATCGCGCGGATGACAGTGACTGTGCGAGAGAGACAGACTCTACCTAAACTCAGTCTCTCTCTCTCTACGCCGATCACGCTTTCTGCTCACACAGTGCTCCCTCCATGTAATGTATGCTCTAAGACCCTAACAAGCTTCCTAAACTAAAAACAATATTAGAATCAAGTACTGGATGTCTATAGTCAAACCTAATTTATTTTTAGTTCAATGTATTGACACTTTGCACAAGTTTTGGTCGAATCTACGTAATATCTTGATCATACAGTATCTTGGAGTTAAAAATAACTTCAAATATAAAAGCCTTAATATTCTATAAAATTATGTTTATTAAATATGTTATATTAAAATACATTTAATTATTATATAATATGTATATTAAAATGTCACAATTAAATATAATAAATATTAAAAATACGATGGCTCGGTATCTGGATATTTGTCCTGGTTAAATGTAAATGTACTATATAGGAGAAAATAATTAAGAAAAACGTTTAAAAATAATATCCTGAATTATTATTTTTTAGTGTTTGCTTTTCGTTTTCTTACTGAAAATTAAATAAAATCCTTTAAAATAATAAAAACAAAATAACAACCATAATACATAGACTCCTTTCTGTGCATAAGTCTGTTATTTACTGAGGGTTTTGGAACAAGGAAAAGTCCGTTACGCTGCCTAGCCCTTATGCGGGGTAATTTCAAAAACTTCAGTAGCAGGTATCCTCACGATATTGTCCTTCACCGCCGAGCACATGGTAAAACAATACTTAAAATTTCAACAATTTCAATTTTACCAACGAAAATCATATCACATACCCTCAGCTACTAGGGAAATCTTTTTATAGTGTTCTAACAAAGCGAATTTTCGCCTTCCCTCCGGGAGATAAATATGGTTACTATTTATTTAAAACAGTAAAAGAATCGTAACATTATAACCTCATATTCGTAAATTGTTATTCCCCACCCAAGTTATCAATCAACAGGAAACAACCAATGTCGCGTATAATCATAGAATGCTTCTGGGTCCTTGACCTACATAGCGCTTGACCCAATTAATTTAAAGCCACGCTAGTTTTCTCTCACTAGTCATGGTATTGCTAGGTGGCAAGCTTTAACAACATTTATTGGTCATAAAACTTCAAATATAGTTGGTACGCGCCATATATAAACCTGAAAATGCTTCTAGAACATATCTACTTACTGAAATTGCTTCGCAATGAAGAAAGTTTTATAGTCAGCAGGCGTTAATAAAATTTTTATTGCTATCTTTCATCGTAAAACATTTACGTTTCAGTAAAATAAACAGAAATGTGAGTGTTATATTTATTAAACATGGAGTAAGCATGGAAGGTTTGTAAATGTATCCAACTTCTTTGCATGCATGCTAATGGAAATTAGATAGTACTCTTGCTGTATTATTTTGACAGCAAGTTATTCGACTTCCTTTATGTATATTCATCGATTGATAAATAAAAAATGTACTTAAGTGTGCGGGAAAACTTCTTACTGCTCTTAGCACCACGCTCACCTAATATTATGGAATCCGGCTGCAAGATTACTACGTTCAAGTAATTTTTAATCAAAATCTAATTTTAATATATAATTATAAGTGGGGGATACATTTTTGCTAGGGTGCCTATAATACAATTGCAATACTTGCGACCAGCAAGTATTTTTAATTAAAATAATATTAGTTGTTGTTTTCCCAAAAATTTCATTTACTTGTTTTTTGTTAAATAAATTAAATACCGCTTCACAGGAATATATGTGTTTTTTATACGATAAGGGTGACAAACGAGCACATAGTCCACCTAATAGTAAGTGGTTGCTGCGGCCCGTAGTTATCTACATCTATCTTCGTTTGCAAATAAAAATGCAGATGCGTTGTCAGCCATGAGGACTAAGACGGAATGTCTCTTTTCCAGTAAAAAGGGTCTCCGGTTCTCTACACTATTCACCATACGAAACACAGCGGCATTAAGCTACTAATTGACGTTGGTATTCTGTGACAGCGTGGTCCTTCCCCGGTCGAGCCGAACCATTCGTGCTACAACTATACAATTAATATAGCTGCAGCATGGCTCTACCACGTCTAAATATATCTGAAAAACTTGGAAAGGGTTGCTTGCAGTAGCGCACGTGGCCGCAACCTCTCCGCAGCCAGGTGTAAACAGGTAATACTTGCCATCAGGTGTACTGGCCCATGTTAAACTGGCCGCAAATAAAGGTAAAAAATAGATTAAAGTGAAAGAGAATCAGCGCGCTACATCATTCGTTAGTAGAGGATGTCAATTGTATTTTGATTATTTTTTGTGAAACAACCCCGAATAAAATGCTTTGTTTATTTATTACAAAATAGATAAAATGTATTTTCAAAAATAAGAAAACCAAATCATTCTATAATTTAAAAAAAATTATATATTCGAAAAATTTCATGCAGTTTTTATAAAAAAATTTGTAGTAATATGGTTGCAAATGGAAAAATATGGGTGAATTCAGCTTTTATTCTTCAGTTCTATAAATTAAAATATATTTCGAGAAAAACCACATTAATTCTCATATTCTTGTATGTTACTGTGTATCTTTTTCTGGCAAATAATGCTACAGTTAACGTAAAAACTGATTACAAAGTTGCTTAGTTTTGCGGTAGACAGTTCACATTTGCGAAGTTCCATTTTACCAATTGAATTATATAAAGATTACATCCATTGAAAGTTCTGCAATCCTGGCTGCTTATAAATGTTTAAATTTCGAATGTTATTTTTTTTTAACTTATGAAACTTGTTTAATGATTAAAATAATTTTTGGCGGGAAGTTGGGTGTCAAATCGTTGTAGTTCGTCGTCCGTGGTAAAAATGGAATTAACGCAAAAGGTTTAGGTGTGGTGATTTGTTTATGAATTTAAAAGTTCACTTTTCTTGCAAAAATGCACTTATGGAGTGTAGAAGCAAGGAGTACCAACTCCCATAGTAGAATCGGTGAAAAGTGGCCATCTGTAAGCAGTAAATAACAGCTCAAAAACCCTCCACAACAGCTCTGGATTAGTTACTGGGATGAAATGAACTTAGCAGTTGTCGACGGTTTAAGTGTGCTGCTAAACTGCTCAGTAGCTCTAAAATCTAAAATAATTTTATTTAGTAAATATAACCTCGAAAAAGTCGTCTATCCCACTAATATTTTTCGGTGCGTTCTTTAAAGTATACCCCGTAGTTATAGTGGCGCCACCCTTATTTAACGGTTTTCTATGGACACTTTTTAATACACAGTCTGTACTCCTTACTTCTACACTCCATAACTGCACTACTCGCCTTCAAATGCTTTTGGGAGGGAAGCACTTTATTTGAGCATCGTAAGGAGTTTGTTCGTAGAATTTTATAACGTGGCCGTGTTTCGCTTTGAATGTGAGCCTACCCCTATCCTCAACTACGATCACCAAGGAGGTGGCTTGATGAAAACTGGCGCATGACTTATGTGGAAATTCGAGAATTTTGAATATTGGTATTGGTCAAATCCAATAAAATACACTAATATTGAAAATTTAGAAAACTTTGCTGCCGCTAGATTCCTCATGAACCTACCCGATAACTAAAACGAGCTCGAGTTGAATGACGGACGTTCAAATGCTGTGTATTGTAATTGTAACAGGGGATGAAATATGGATATATTCTTCAATTCTGAAAAGATAGCGGCATGTAGGTATGGGAATTCGAAAGCGACCGCAACTCAATAGCGTGAGGCGTGGACAAAAACTTATTGTTTCACAGACTGGTCCTGTCTGCACGATCCCATTTGATGAATAATATACGGTTAATGCTGAGTGGTACCCACAAACATTTATTTCCCCAGTGTCTTTAAAAAAGGTTAGGGAAGTCGCACCCCACGCCGCACACAGTAAGTGATTGCTGTGGCCGATAGACATCTACATCTATCCTCGATTACAATTCAAAATGCAGATGCGTTGTCAACCGTGAGGACTAAGATGTAATGTCTCGTCTTCAGTAAAAAGGGTCTCCGGTTCTCTACACTCACCATACGAAACGCAGCGGCATTAAGCTACT